TCTTTTTTTCTTCTATAAAACTTAAAAAGGTCAATAAAAACAACGTTGTTTCTCAATCTAAGAGTTTTTTTAAGAACAGTGGAATCTTATGAGGCATTCACACCAAATTTAATCCACGCGACGCTGGACCACTGCTGAGTGTTCACGTACAACACGATAACGTGAATAAACCAGGAATAAACACAACTCACCATTACTACAGCTGTATTAACCCAAAGTAAACATTTTGCTGTGATTAAATAGCAATAAAGGGTCAAACTGATGCTGAAATAACTACAGTATGATGCAGTTAAACATATGATTTCATGCTTTGTCAGGTCTGTCAGCAGGACAACAACTTCTAAAATGTTTGTTTTCTGAATGGAGTTCGGATCGATCAGGGCTACGCTACACTAACTTGGTCACAGTAAAGTACAACGATAGCTGGAATAAAGCTACATACACATGTTTTCTGAACTCACCAGGTAGTTCAACCTCCTCGCTTTCTTTTCTCCCATCAATGTCCAGCTTTGTCCGTTTTTTTAAATATAATTATGAAGTAGTGCCGAACGACGCTAACGACACTGGAACCACAGTGTCCCTGATGGGGTCGACGATCTAGTTAGATTGACTGTTCATATTAAAACATTGATCCAGGTCATAGTTATCATCTGAAGAATACCACAGTTGAGCTACTTTTTGTTGGTTCAAAGGTAGGGCTGAACAATTTAGAAAAAACATCTATTTGCCTGACTGACAAGGCAAGTTTATTTGTATAGCACATTTCAACAACAAGGTAATTCAAAGTGCTTTACATAAAACATAAAAGCAACAGGGAAATATAAAAAAAGAAAAAAAAAAGTTTAAAAGCAACATAGGGAAATTGAAAAAATACACATTAAAATATAATAAAAGTTACAGTGCAGTGTACAATCAGGGTTTAAAGAGTTAAATGGAAAATAAAAACAGGCTGAGGGGTTGAGCAAATAACTGAGTTACAATTATTTTGAAAAGAGAATAAACAGAGAAGTGCACTTCATCTACTCTCTCTGACATTGCGATATGATTTGCAGTATTGGAGGGTGATATTATTTTTACATAATTGTTCTAATTTTCATTGAAAAGCATATTAAAATGCATTATGGTGTCATTTCATGCAGGGATCTGTACCAAACAAAGAGTTTTAAACATCTTCAAACTTACCATGCGGACAGAGATCAATCTTCTCATCTAACGCTCGGCAAGAAAGCAAATAAGCATATTTCCAAAAATGTTTGAGTTTAGAATGCCTAATTAATTATGACTTGAGCGTTAATAAAACATTTTTACCAAACTTAGATGAGTGAGCCACAAATCACCAATAGTAGATAATCATTTCCAAGTCAAATAAAAACATTTGTTAACGTTCAAATGATACTGAAGAAGAGCCACATACACACCACGAGTCTGTATTCACGACCATCAAACACTGAAGCTATTCGTCAGCACTGATGCAGCACAGCACAGCCTCACAGCCAGCGTGACACCCACTGGGAGAAAATTAGGGTCCCACGCCACCATTAGAGCGGGCTTTAAAACAAATACCAAAGAGCTTAATGATGTCCCACTGTCTCTCTTTTTTATTATTATAATGCAAAACACAATGAAGTCTGTGTGTGTTTGGATGTCAGGGGGAGGGGAGGGGTGTCATCTTTTTCTGTCCTGTTTCTCTTTATGAACTGGAGAATTTGTTTACGTGTTAATAATATGTTTAAATACCTGTATTTAGTTTATGACATATTAACGTATGTAATGCGTGTGTGTGTTGTTTTCGTTATGAACAGTGTGTCTCTGTGCTGCCGGGGGCTTGTGTGTGGTTCTAGAGGGAGGGGCCCGTGTTTACTTGCAGCTGATACTCTTACACACATGCACATAGACTACAGCTACACATAGACTACACACAAAGAGACACACACCGTGGTCTGTGTGCTCTGTCTGAGGAAAAAATGTTTATATTAGTTGGGGGTTTGATGGGAGTTGAGTGTTTTGGTTTGGGGGGGGGGGAGGTTCAAGGCATTCCTACACTTGGTTTTGCCAAGTAGAGCTGGAAATATGAGCTGCCCTGGTGGGAAGTCATCTTGTTTCCTACAAAACCCAGCATGCTCTCTGATTCGCAGAGGTTTATGGATGTGGAAACATTATTTACCTTGCTAGTCAGAGTTTTCATTGGCACCGTCATTAGTATCAGATCAACAGCAGAAGAACGCAAAGGATGATCACTAGCTGATTTCCAGGAAATGTCTTCACTGGGAGCTATTTCGTAAATCTCATCTTTTAACTTTCCCCCGACTCACTTTTGTCCGTTTGTGGAAATGAAACCATCGTGCCAGACAATCAACGCTACTTTGGGACACTCAGGAAACGGTACAGTCTCACCAGGTCACCAGATTTGTACTGGAGCAAAGTCAGCATGTATTTGACTTCACTGACTTTATAGGGTCAACTAAGAATTATTTAAATTTTCAGTTCAGCCATCTTCTCTTTCAGTTGAGTGAGTCTGTTAAATGTCAGAAAATAGTGAAAATGTCCCTCACAAATGTTTTCAAATAGCTTGTTTTGTCTAACTGTGCAAAACCCTAACATATTGAGATAACGGTGACATGAAACTAAGAAAAGCAGAAAATCCCCACATTTGAGATGCTGGAAACTAGGGCTGAAACGATTTATTGATGTTGACTCAGCTAACTGATTAATTGAGTTATCTTTGTTTTTCTACAGTTCATAAGCTTTAAACACAACAGTGACTTATTACTGGGGCTGTGCAAATGAACACATTTTATTTTCAAATATGATTTTGGGTGCCTTCGATTACAAAAACAACATAAAATGATTATTGTGCCGCATTCTGTTTTGCAATCCCGTTTTGTCTTGTGTTCTAAATCCTGTTCTTTACAGCGGTGGCTTTCGACCCTCCCTAAAAGCCCAAACTTCCTCTCAGCCACGCTGTAATGTTTATTTCAGCTTGAGCCGAGATGACCGGGGGTTATCTGCTATAACTTGCTAGTCTCCAGTATTAGCTTAAGCCTATGGCATTTTATACTTGGATGGGTCACAGTGTCTCACATTAAAGGCAGGCGTCTTATCCATTGCACCATCGCAGATACAGAGCAGCATTAGCATTCATAAGGAGTTGTGTTTCTGTCCAATATTTACTCTTCTTTTGGTTCTGTGTTTGGTCTCCAGCGACTCTTGAGAGAAATATCTGGTGGTTTGGATGCTAAATGTTGGACTTTACTTCGCTAGCTAGCGTTAACGTTGTCCACTGCTGATGTAAAGGTTGACGAAAAGGTCCTCACAGGCTGAGTGAGCTAAAAGCTATGGCTAAACATGCACTTCCTGTGCTCTTCTTCTATCCCTAATTATCCTAATTATCTTGCATTGATTGCACTTTTTGTTAACTCTTACTTCTTTCCGTAGGTATTGCGTTATATACTATTAGCTCTTACTAGTATTTATTAGCGCTCTTAGTAGATGTATTGTCAGTTGTATTGATGCTTGAATTGTTGTTCCTCAAATGTAAGTCGCTTTGGATAAAAGCGTCTGCCAAATGAGTAAATGTAAAGTTACATAAAGTTAAAAGAGAAGATGTTTAATTTAATTAGACGCTGGTCTGAAGTCAGTACATCAGAGAACCGTGCTGACGATGACCTTACAGAGACCACTAAGTGTGTCTGTTGTATTAATGCTAATAAGTTTAATAATATCTATATACACACAGTATTTCATGCTTCAGAACCGTAAACAAGTCATCTGATCTGATTCATCATCAGGAAGATTAGAGGCTGATTTGGCCACGTCTCCTGTTGTCTTCTAACAGCTAACAAGTGAGCTGAAAGAGTCAAAACAGCTCAGTAGAGAGAAGGCGGGGTGATACTCTCTGTGGGTGGTCCCTCACATATACATTTGAGCAATTGAGTATGTGAAAATATTGATTATCTTTAACTATGAAATAATGTAAATTAATTTCAACTTCTTTTCTAAAGAGAATATGCTGCAGTAGTGTCACCCAGACACATGTTGGCAACCAATGTGTCAGGATTTATAGCTGAAATTAAAATTTCACAGCGGTACAACTTTTATGCAATGACAATGGCACCATTGCAAATGTAGCAGACATGATCCACTTGTGTTCGTCACTGTGCCTTGTTAAACACTTACCACAGTGGGCAGTTTGGAGTTTCACTGATGTTTCCATTTAGCTAAACGTTGGTGAACAAAGACTTCCATGTTGTTTTGAAATTGGCAGGTTCACATTTGATCGTCTGAAAGTGTGCTATCCTGACCCGAGCCTCCCGACTCTGCCGTATTTGTCAGCATTCTTTTTGTTTTTTCTCTCCACCTCAGCCTGTGAAGGTGGGGGGTGATGGCCTCCTTCCTGTGTGAGATGAAAGTGCATGTTAGGACTGACGGACGAACGGACCATCTCCCCAGTGTGCGGGGGACTGTGAGCCTCTTCCAGGAAGGGAAGGGCCGGCCTAATAAATGTATCCTGGCTAGAGATAACGGGGGAAGAGAGTGAGACTGAAAGAGGCAGCGCACGGGACAAAGACAAGTCCTCCACAGAGAGAGAAACTGAAGACAAAGATAATTAAAGGGAAACAGAATCTGAGTATAGAAAGATGTCAGCTCAATTAAATACCACCAGACTTAAGTGTAGTTTCTCTGAAGCACAAAAACTTTGTGTTATGGTGTGAAAGAAGGGCAGCTGTGCTGGAACCGAGGCTCTCCAAGATGGAAAATTAATTATGTATGTATGACAGCATGGGAACAAAATTTAGGGGAAAAAGGGGAGTGAAAATGTGAGAGAGTGAGAAAACAGGAGGCACAGGTAATGAGAGACAGCAGTTCAGGCCAAAAATAAGCTGAGGATTGCATTCGAGCAGACCAGCACCTCTATAATACTGGCTGTGGCCAAAGCAGGAATTTCCTCTGGTTTCACCACAGCTGAAATGTCTGGACTGAAGTGTGTTTTTGACCCACAGAGCTGCTGCCCCTGCAGGCGCCATCCAAGACGTAAACACACACCCAGGCGTGCGAGTTACCCAGTGGACAGGAAGACAACATGGCCTCCAGCACGCCACCCGGGAGTCCTCTCAGCGGCCTCACGGACAGGACCGGCAGCTTCTTTAAGGTTTGCGAATGTTCAAAGATCTCAACACATCACTTCCTGTGTGCCAAATGTTTTTCTCTGGGAAAGGCTGACTCAGCACTGTGTGAGTTTTTCCCTGTTCCAAACACAACAAACAGCTCGGTGAATCAGCTGCATCAGGCTGATCCACAAAACCTAGTAACTACACGTCTGTCCAAAAGCTAGTTCAAAATCCAATGAAATATAACAAATTCTATTGTTTTCATTTGTAGTTCACAGAGATCCTCTTACAGTGTAGTTGACGTGAAGTCCTGGATATTAAATGTTCATCTGCAGTTTTCTGTAGTGTCCCAGTAATATTTGTGGTTACAAATACTGATATACTGAATATTCTGCTGGCAAAATATTATTTATGTTTTTTTACTTCCTTATTTAAATTGTTTGCTTTTATCAGTATATGTGGCAGTTATGTTTTTTCAATGTGGTCACAATCCATTTTCCATTTTCAGACTAAAAAATGAGCAGCACTTCTTACTTTTATTTAAAATCTGTCTCACTGTTCACAGCTTTCTCCTGGCTGCCTCTTCTTAGTTCATTCAGGTTGTTTGGCAAATCCAGTGTCCTGTGCAGATGAATAAATAAAACCCATTTTCAAGGCTAAAAACGTTTTAGACCAGGATCAACAAACACTGAAAATTGTCTCCCTTTTAATTTCGTTTGCAGTTTTTTCCATCCTTACTAATCCTGTGAAAGTGCTCTCTGTATGTGTCTGTGTGTCAAAACCAAACTCATAGTTTCCTATTGACTCCATCCATGGCTTCAACTGCAGTCCATGCAGAGAATCACTTACCTCTATATACACACACACACACACCCCACACACACACACACACACACACACACATATATGCACACACCATCTTAAAGGAGCCGAATAAATAAACCATCTTGTGTGTGTCTGTGCATGACATCTGCCTCGCTGCTTCACTCTGTCCATGTGTTGTGCAGAGTGAAGAAAAGAGTAGAAACAAACCAGATGAATGAAGTGGGGGAGGTTCATAAAAGTCACTGAAACCAGACTTTTTTGCTGAGTGCATTCCTGGATATCAGTAATTTCCCTCTAAAAGTCAGCAGTGTGAAATAAGGCCTGCATGGGCGCCACTATTAGATCTCCACAAGGCACTCTGCCCACAGCCAGTCACTGAGCAACTCTTGTGTTCACGGACCTGGATTTATAGCTTAAGAATTTCCCATGTTTTCTCCTCTGGCCCTTTTCCCCCATTTTCATTCATATAATTCACTGCCTGTCTCTTTGTAGAAGGTAGTAACTATCTTTCACCTTCCTTCCATGGCTGGATTAATAACTCTTCATGAGGCCCTGGGGCAAAAATGAGCAGCTGGGTTCCTCAGACTCTATCTGCAACCCCTGGCTGCGGTTAATTGTCTTTTTTTTGCTTAGAAAGGTTCCTAACTGAGTGAATTGACCAGGGACTTATAGGTAAGGAAAAGTGCTTTTTTCACAGAGCACCTGTTCGTTGATTTTGAGAACATCCCAAAAGTATGGAAATTCTGTATGATTAGCTTAGCTTAGCTAACCATAAATAAAAATAAGATTACTTCTTTGTCGAATCAATCCAGTTGGGAGGAATCATGAAAAACAAGCATATTGAATTTCTAGTTAACGACCTGTTAACAAAATACAATACTATACCCTGCCACCCCACAACCCCACAGAGCGGGCACAGGGCGTGTACATTTTACAACAACAAACGAAACTAGAGGAAAAGGTGTGATAATGGCGCCAGCCAAACAACTCGATTTTGTCCGGCGTTTAGCCTACACATTGTTAACGTGTTGTTTATTTGTCATTTTGTGCGCTTCAACTATGGATAAGAGCTCTCTGAGTCCACGCGGGCTAACGTTACATATCCACACGAAGCATTTCAGAATAAGAGCGTTTTGCCTGTCTGATTTTGCTTATTTGTTCTGATTTTGCTAATTTGTTCAGATGTACTTGATTCTTGTGCTTCTACCATGGTTAAGTAGGCTACGTAGATACATTGTTAATTTTTATTTGTTTCTTTTAACTGTGTTTGTTGTTGATGTACGATCAGGAGTCTTCAAAAGGTGTTTTATTTTGAAGCTTGTCTGCCAAAAGAACTTGATTCCGTATCAGATGACTGGGAGGACTACTATTTTTTTTAATGGTGTTTCATGCTTTTAGGTTGTGGAACATTGTCTTTAAAAAATAATGTTTTTTACATGCTGTGCAATGGTTCAGAGTATATGAAATCACCAGTCAGTGTTAAACAAAATGGGAAGCTTAGCATGAAAATCTGCAGAGAAGAATAACTTTGGTATTTTTTAAGCTAGGCCTATATTTTGGTGTCGAAATGAGTAGTAGGTACAAAAAGGTTTGTAATTTGTGCAGTAGATTGCTTCAGCCAGCAGCCACACAATATGACTGTTAAACCAGGTGTCTGACAACCTCATGGACAGGATCCCTACCAGTGACTCCCGGTGACATCCTTTGTTTGTAACAGGAAACAGAAGTCTCGCTCAAGGACAAGTCTAGCTCTGAAATCTGGGGGGAGATGAACGAAGGAGAGGAGTTTGCTGTGTACATGGAGGAACTGCTTGCAAGATTTTATTACTCCAACAAACAACAAACTCCTCTCTCCAACTCTGACTCACGTTTCCACCATCGTCTTCCTGCAACAACGCTCTCGCAAAGAGCCATCTACTGCACGGATTGCAAAACCTTCATTTTGACACCAAAATATGTGAAAGTAGGGCCCAGGTTTAAAAACACCAGAATTATCCTTTAAATAGGAACCGATTCCTGTTTCAGTGTAAAGTGTGCAATAATGCCTATAAGCAGTTGACATTAATAGTTAACAGTTTAGAGAATATTATAGACAAGGCATAACGGACAGAAGGGCGAGAGAAAAGGATGCAAATACAAATCAGTCTACTAATTCAGCACCACCACAGACAGCCAGCACAGTTAGGCTGCTGGTATTTCAGAGCCATGGTTGGGGCCGTAGACTCTAACTTGCACAAACCTCAGTCAAATTAAGGACTAACATATTCAGCTCACAAGCCTTCCGCCCCTGCTCTCTCTCTGCTACTAAGAGATGGCGGTGGGGGGTGGGGTAAGTTAACAAGGGGTCATTTTGCTAACAGGTGGGATGGCATCTCCCCTCATCCTCCCCCCTCTCTAATCGCACAGGCACAATTAACAGGCATGTTGCTTTAGCAGAGTTATTCTTAAAACTTCAAAATTGAAATAGAAGTCCAGGGTTAGCACTATTGGAACTGGGTCACAGAATATTAGCCAAACATAATATGGACTGACAAAGCACAATCCAACCACTGAGTAGACTACAGAAGGCCCAGAGAAAAATGGGTTCCAAAAATATTCAGAGACTAATTGCACCGTTGTGGTTCAGTAATGATCTAGGGGCACTTATGCTTTTCTGGACTGGAAAACAAAGTCTAATTTGAAAGGTTTTTTAAGGGGAAACGGGATTCTCCTGTCATGCAACACTGTAAAAACATTGACTGAACGAAAGTTTTAAGTAATTTAAAATGTAAAATAATACATTTGGTGTCTGAACTATACAGTTTTATCTATGTTGCAAATAGCTATTATTAACAAGTGATACCAAACGTTGGAAGCACAGTGTGTATGTGCACACAGTTTCCTGCTGAACGTGTGACGTTTCAATCTAGTCACCTGGTGAACGAAAGAAATTTATTCATCATAAATGTAAGAAGCCATACTGTATGTGGTCAGGCTGGTTCATCACGTACAACTAGTAATGTCAGTTTCTCAGTTGACTAATGAAACTATGGAAATACCGCATCCTCATTTCCACATCCTTTTTATTTCATATATATTAAGTAAAGTTATTTAAATAACTTCATGGTGAAGCTACTTTAGTATCCTTAGCTGAATAAAGTTCATGAGTTTGTTGTACTACACTTTCTTTAACAACCAAATGGTGAAGAAATGCTGCATAGTAATTCGATTAAACCTAAATTAATTTGGGATTTTTCAACGTGTAAGCACAAAACTGAAATTATGAAGTACCTAAAAGTAGATTTTTGATGCAAGGACACCTAAAGATAAGGTAAAAAAGCAGGACAGTCGATACTATGCTTCACTGTGCATATTCTCAGACAAATGTTTTAATTTAACAAATTAATGACATAATGACATAACAGTAGACACACAGTTTACCTGGTTGGTAATCCAATCTGGGCTCTGTCCCCTGAACCTGACTCGTGGAAGTCCAGCTGCTTAAATTTCACTATAAAACGTTTTGTTCAGAATGGTACAATGAAGTTAGCACTTCGTAACCCAAACCTATTCTCTGACATAGCTTGTGTGATCCTTCTTGGTTGCTTGAGGGGGCTGAAAGGAGAGAATGTTTCAAATGTTTCCTTCTCTGGGATGCAACCATAGTCTAGCAGTACTAGTTCAGGAGTTTAAACGGACACGTCTGTAGCATCTGGTTATAGGATTCTCACAGCTTTTCACAGGAAACATGACGCCTTGCTGTGTGCGAGCGCTGGCTGTTCCTCCAATGCAGGTCAGTTGTTCAGATATCCCTGTCTTCACTAGGGTTCAAATTGAGCATCCCCAGTCTGTGTTTGAACTGTCTGTGTGTTAGCTGCAGTGTTACTGGAGCGCTAACTTGTCAACTCATGTTTTATAATAAAGTTTTGACCTGAGACAAAGCCGGGGGAGTGTGAGGCTTTAACAGAGCTGGCTCCGCTTAGTCCTGCGAGGGGGGGGGGGATTAGAGGGGACTGTGGTGACTGTGGTCTGGCCCGAAGCCCAGCCGGTCGGAGGAAAGTTTGGGAAAGTATGCCTCCTACTGGTTGAAATGTATACTGGAAGCAGAAACTCTTCCTTAAATGATATTGTGCTTTGTGGCCAGATGCCACAATAAAATACCTAAATGGTCCATGGAAGCCATCTTGTTTGAACTGTTTGACACAGATAATCAGTGTAAAGCACCAGAATTTCAACATCTGCTCAGATATGTTTGAGGCTCTGAATCCCTGGGAGTGCTCTAAAATGTGGAATGCAGGAATGTGGACACGGGTTGAAAAAACCCGGGGGGGGGGGGGGGTTGATCAAGGCGAATGGGCAGCCAACCACGCAAGTGTTTTTTAAGTAGGAGTAAAACACCTTCCATATCTGTGTTATCACGATCTGATGACCAGAATAGGAGTGGGCTAAAACTAAATACAACTCTTATATCAGTTGACCTGAAAATAGTCCTTCGTGACATGGGAGATGCGATCTTACAAGCCTTCCGGCCCAGATGTATCCAGTTGTTTACACGCTGTTTGCTATGGAAATTGCTTTTTCAGTTGGGACACATTGCGCAAAGTCTTGTGTGCTTCTCTGCAGGACATCTTTGGAACATTTTTCGGCTCACTCTGGATGCTTATGGGGGCCTTTTTTTTTTTTTTTTTGGACAACTCTTTGTCGCCATGTTTCCTGCCTATAGTAAATCTGGTCAACACAGGAAAAATGACTAATTGTTTCCCTGCCCTTTGTCCTAGATGTGACCAGCGCAGCTCATCCGTTTGAGCAATACTGTTGGTTTCGTTTACTCCTGCCCCCTCCCTCTTATCTTTCCTCATCAGTCAAAGCCTCTCATTCTATATTCTTCCAGCTGATTGACACATTTGCGTTGGAGATTGGGGAGCTGAAGAAAGAGATGGGCCAGACCTCTCCAACAGTTGCCAAGGAGCCTATAAAGCTACAGGGGTAAGACTTTTTTCCACAAATCTTCTTACCCCCTTGATCAAAACTTGACTACTCAATCTCACTAGTTTTGTTATTAATTTCGGATAATATCTTGAAATGTTATCTTGACGATGCAGGTCATGTATTGCCATCAGCGTGTTCTGCGTTGTTTTGCATTATGCTAAATCTGATTTCCTTCAACATTTGTAAATGCTATGACACGTTGATGCTCATTTTCACCAGCAGGTGGCAAAAGTGCTTCACTCTCTGTCTTTCTCTGTGTGTGTCTCTCTCTCTCTCTCTCTGCCAGGCTGGAGAGTGAAGTGAGTGGTGTTTATCTGCAGTCCCCTCACTGTAGTGGGGTCGGGGGTGAAAGGGATTCTGGGTACGACTCCCTGCGGAGGAGGATGAGCGTCTTGGACAGGCTGACTCAAACCCACCCGGTGTGGCTGCTGCTAGCAGTCAGTGAAGAGGAGGCCAGTCGCATTCTGCTCAAACAGCCACCAGGGGTGAGGGGTTACCATCCTGGGATACAAATGTTAACGTGTCCTTTGAATATTGTATTATATTTCATGGCTTCTTACTCTGTGGTTTCAGGTGTTCCTAGTCAGGAAGTCAGCCACTCTGCAAAGAAAGGTTCTGTCTATGCGTCTGAAGGAGGATCAATCTGGGGCTCCCATCAGCCACTTCCCTGTTAGAGAGAGCCAGTACAGTAAGATTTGTTTTATCTATACCTGGAGTGCTGGGTGGGTGGAGATAATCACATTAGGATTAGGACAAGTTAATAATAATAATAGTCTAAGTGATAGGTAAGATGGTCTTTCAGTTTCCTTTGGTCTGCAGAATATTATTTTGTTGAACCACAGTCCCTGCGGTCACACTGTACTCTGGGTCACAGAGATCAGGATGTCATTTCCCGTCTGCCTCCACATACTGTGTACAAAGATAAACCAAAACGCAAAAGAGAAGTGTGTGTGAGTGGCCCACTCGTTCAGTAAATGTCTAGCGCCAACTGTGACTGCATTTTGTTATGGTCACATGAGTGGTTGCACTGTTACCTGACACTGAATGTGGGACTTGAGTCAGGTTTGGCCTTAAGATGTGGGTCAGCTTCTTCTCAGTTGGCTTCTCATACAGCACAGTCTGCTATATTAAGTTAGCCTTGTGCATAAACAGTTTGAACGGTTTTATTAAAAATATACAAATTACCCATCCTTCTTAAATCACATTTTTCATTCGCGTGCGCATTGTTTGTGTAAATATTACATTTGGAAGGTTAAATGATATCTTTATATATGGCTGTATGTAGAAACTAAAAACTGAAAGACTGCAGCAAACGCATATCAGAGAGCCTAGAGTCTACAACATAAAGCAAGGGTATTGGTACTGTACAGTAAGGAGCATTGTAGGAATATCTTGATGGGTTTAAACCAGGGGCAGACTTGGACAACTGTAGCCACACCAGCCCACATTACCACGCATCCCCACTCACGAACACACGCGTTCACTACTTCTATTTGTGCAGAGATGTTGATATAATATAAGCAGTACCGTGTGTAACAGATTTGTAACATTAAATGTATGTGACCGGCTAACAAGGCTTAATAGTCTTTAAAGAGCACATGTTTATAACAAATTTACCCAGTTAAAAACAACAGATCTCTCCATCTGAGTATGTTGTACCGTCTGTCTGCTGTCTGTCTGCTGTTGCTGTCATTCTCTACTGCACAAACCCAAAGTTACATTTGTGTGTTTTCTTCCCACCACTACTTTTGACTGAATGTCCCAATTTGAGTAACCTCTGATCGGGTCGGTCAGCCCATCTTGGGACCATGCTGGCCATTGCTAACTCTTATTATTCATTATTATTAGTAGTAATAGTAGTATACCACAGTGAACTTGTGAAAAGCAATATAACCCCGTCTTATGCACTGTTAACCTGTAAAAAAAAGTTTATGCATGTTCAGAATGACAGTATATGTCTATTTCTTGTAGCTTAGGTTATTTCTTATTTAACATTTTTAATTCTATTTCATTCTCCACCTTTATTTTAATGTTTACTCACTAGCCCACTTGAATCTGCTCTCTTTCCCTTCAGTTCTCATTTCCCCACACTTGCACACACCTACACCTCTGCTGCAAACACAGCGTCTTGCCCCGCCTCTTTCTGTTTCTCTCTCTTCCTGTATTTGTGTGCTCTGTTTACGTTCTCCACCAGCAGTGGGGTAGGTTTTACAAAGTGGCCGAAATCACAGTCGCGATTTCCAGCCGCATTTCTGTTTTCAGCCGCATGCGGAGGAAGCTTGTTAATGAGGAAGCCTATCGAAACTGAAACCATTGCTGCAGGTTACCGAGTGACATTTGCACTGGTGTGTTCACTGTTCTTTACCCGGTGCTTGTAAAATATCTGCCGTGTCAGAGTCTTATAACCTAATAATGGCATCTCTCTCTGTGTTTCTCTACAAAAGGCTAAAATGGGTCACCAAATATACTTGAGCGACTGTTAATATTCTTGGGCTGCCCGCCCAAGTAAAGCCTTTGTGTGGGAAACACTGACTATTATTAATCTGACTGGCCCACCCCAAAACAAATGGTCAGGCCCACTCTGGCAATCCGCTGCTGGTTTAAACCCTGGTACAAATCTTTGAACCAAAGTTAATGGCAATCCATAAACAGTATTTTTCTCATTTGTTATTTACATTTATTTATTTAGCTGACGCTTTTATCCAAAGCGGCTTACAATTGCTCTATATGTCAGAGGCACGCCTCTGAAGCAACTAGGAGTTAAGTGTCTTGCTCAGGGACACAATGGTGTCCCACAGTGGATTTAAACCCGGGTCTCTCACACCAAAGGCATGTGCCTCTAATAGCTATCCCTGTCTTCACTAGGGTCCATATTAAGCATCCCCACTCTGTATTTGAACTGTCCACTTGTCAGTGCTCCAGTAACACTGTAGCTAACTTGTTAATTTGCGTTGTATAAAAAAGTTTTGACCTGACACAAAGCTGGGGGAGTCTCAGGCTTTAACAGACATAGTTCTGCTTAGTCCTTTGGCACAGGCTACAAAGACGTAAAGCTTCCTTGTCAAGAATTAAATGCTGGCAAAGCTGGACATAATGGACAGAACAAATGTTCCAAATGCAAATGAGTGAGTTTCAGTCTAGTTGGGATTTAATCTCTATATTTCCTTTTGCAGCCTTTTCTCTTGAGGGATCTGGGATCAGCTTTGCAGATCTGTTCCGCCTGGTGGCTTTCTACTGTATTAGCAGGTAAACAACCAAAGCATGTTTTTCTGTCCACCCATCTGTGTTTTGCTCCGTGATGAGAGTGTGATTCGAGGATGGAAACACCGTGGATGAAAATAATGTTTGTTGAGTAAGCAGTCAGTTCTGAGTGCCCGAGGCTCTCACTTCTTGTTTTAGCTCGTGCCAGCTCGGGAGACCCAGACAGACACTGGACTTAAAACAACAGACACAGGAAATAGAGGGAATTTGTGCTGCAAGCAACACTGGATTCAACTAGCACATCAGACAGGCCTCCTAAAATTTTACAAATGTAGATTAGATTTTTTGAGCTGAACATTCTCAATCCCAGCATGTCTGTATAAGTCTGGAGTTCCATATCTTATGGCTTTGTAATGGAAACAAAGGGTTTGTCAGCATGTTTGTATTAATGATGACGGAAACTGTTTTCACTTCTTTGTATGTCAGTGTTTTGGGTTTTGCTTTGCCAACCAAACTTTTATTATCCCTTTTATTTGGGGGCATCACTGTCAAATAAGAACAGTTATAACATAAAGCAATGAACATTGAACTGCATTGATGAGACCGAATCACTAACTTGCTATTGTCAAGTACATTAAAGGTACACAGATAGATCAGCATTTTAGGTTTCAGAACTCAACTCACAGGCATTTCATTTGATTACCAGAGCTCCTTCTTTGCTTCATGTTTTAATATTTTCTTATATTTGTTGTATTTATTTTCTGTGGCATTGTCTTTTCACTGATCTAGGGATGTCCTGCCTTCCACACTCAAACTCCCAGAGGCCATTGCATCTGCTAAGACACAGAAAGACCTGGAGGAGGTCGCTCAGCTTGGTGCAGGTAGCCTCATTACTTTATTCAAAATCTGTATTAACACTTAACTTAAATTATCATAGTGGTGGTTTTGCAAGTTTTACAGCCTGTCTGCTCTGTTGTTTGCTTACTTTACTCCGTGTGTGTGTGTGTGTGTGTGTGTGTGTGTGTGTTTGAGCTCAGCCCCGACACGGAGAGTAGGATGTTGTGTACATAAATATATAAATTAATAATATTAAAAAAATAACAATAGAACAACAACGATTAACTATTAACAACAAATATGTGCAATGTGCCAGGTTCGTGCATGATATGAAATGAAGTTATGTTTACATGTGCAGAGACGATTGTATTATTTGAAAGGGAGGAGTGTCAGTGGGGGACTGACACTCGTTAATGAGGCCAGCTGAGAACTGGGAGGGGGGCTTGAGGTGGAGAAATAGCAACAACAAACAAACACAATCAAAAAAACAACACATGACAACGCAATGCCGACTGAACGCAAAAGGTGGAACCCGCGGAAGAGCAGCGCCCAGACCGACCGCGGCGCGCACACAACAGAGACCAGCGTCATCCCACCACCGCAGAGCGCACAACCAAACCGCCAAAACGCCACACAGTCATCAACATCAATGCACAAGTGACGAGCCCAACCCACACATTGTACGAGCACGGCGACACCCCATGCCTGGCAGCCCCCCGTGTATCCTGCGCGCGAGGTCAAGCGAGCGAGCAGACGGCAGAACACAACGCCAACGCCAGCAAGTCCCAGGACGGCAGCAAACCAGTGCAGGCCACCGTGAACCCACCAATAAAAGTCCGCCTCCCCCCAACCGCCGGAATAATGAAATCTGCCCGCGCCAGCAAACATCCCCCATGCACAGCACGCCCCCAGGCTGCCGTGCAACGCCGGCCAAACCAGCAACGAGGCAAAATCAACTAGCCCAGCTGCACGTCGCCACCAACCCACCCACTCGTCAAGGGCTGATTAATTCCAGGCACAAGCCCAGAATAAACTGGAGCACAGCCCTGCACCCTCACTGCACATCCCGAAAACTAACTTTATACTTCAGTCTCCAGAGGAGTCCGACAGCCGGCTGACAGAGAAATGGGGAAGCATGGATCTGGCCAACAAAGCAAACCAGGGACGCAAACCGGTCCCTCCAAGCCAACGAGGAAATGCCTCCCCCGGACTGCAACGCACAAACTAATGCCCAGCAGCCCTCCAGAGACCCTGCACAGAAAAGAAAAATGCATCAAGATGCATCGACAATCGCCCTACAATCCCATCGCAGCCCTCCGAACCGCAACCGGACTGATCTGCGCCGCGCCCAGAGACCCCCACCCCCAGTAACCAGGGCACACCGCGACCCACCAAAGCGCAAAGGACGCCTGACCACATGTCCCAGGGAGAGCTGCGCCCCGCCCCGAGGGAGAACAGCAGAGAGCCGAAATGGGGAGCTCCCCGCTGCCAGGGAGCGATAACGTGGGAGCCCCCCCCCCCCAGTCAGCCGTCCCTAAGGAAGAGGGCCAAAACCCACCCCGACAACACCGGCCATGTGCCCCAGGGACTCCCGAATGCCCCCCCCTGTGAAAGAGCCGGCAGGGGGAAGCAGCGAGAACCCCACCCCTGCCGAAGAGGGCCCTGGCTAGGAGAGGAGACAACGGGCCCCCAGTCCCAGGGACACACCATCCGACCCCGAAAATAAGCAAGAGTCCAAAGACCCCCAGATCCAGAGCGGGCCACACAATATTATTGATTTCAAAGTAGCAACTTACTTGAGGGTAGTTGCACAGTAATTAATTGTAGATAAATACAAATAAAGAAAGTGTAACAAACAGCACTAACATCTTAGATCTTGCATCTTCTTTGGTTTTTGGCAAAGTTAAGTCTTCACTTGATTGTCACAGACAATATGTCCACTGTAATTAAAAGTAGCCTGTAGATTTGGACCAGAATTTCACAGGTATGCCGAAGTTTTCTAGATACAGATAGAGATACAGTCAGTTTACATTTCATTACTGAAAAATATCCATATGATCTGTGCTTACAGGTACTTGTATTCCTCAATAACCTAAACTTCTGTCCTGGCCTTGTAGTCCCAGGTTGAGAGCTGACTGGAGATTCTGGCCTGTTTAATCTTTCAAGTAGTTATTGTCCTGGCATTACTCCTCTTATGAGCCTCTTTCCACTTTTTTCATTGGGCACACTGCTCTCACACTGCAATCATTTTGCCTTTTCTTCTTCTGTTGTTTCTACGTCTTTCCACCACTTAAATTTCTGCCGTCACCTCTGTTCATCAGCATCCCGCCTGGCATGATAACTTTCCTGCAGCACTCAGTTGTGTGCATGAAGTCTGTAGAAATCAATAAAAAATTGTAAAATACCCACTAACCTATTTAAAATTATCTTAACATGACAAACCTAGTAGTATAAATTAAGACAGAAAACCATGGTGTTAGCAAACGACTTGGTGATGTCATTCCCGCTGTGTCATGTGACTCACTGTTTTATCAGTTCCTCTGCCAGGCTAAATACGTTTCTGTAACAGACTTGCGCCCATGTTGTAGGACACAACTTCTGTGCGTATTTACTACTTTTTAAAATTTGCCGATGTTTGAATTTTTTTAATAAGTGCAAGAGACAAATATCAACAAAATCATACAGGAAAAAAAAAAGATTTAAATCTTTAACTGTTATATTTGACATCCAAATTAGTCATCAAGAAGGTGGGACATGAGAAAAATGCTATTTTATGGGGTGCTTGGGAGCCACTTATTTACAGTTTGTCTTGGGATTTAATTTACATTTACAAGTGCATGTTTTAGTATTTTGCACATGGATTATTACAAATGTAATGGGTGGGACAGAAAATGTCCTCCAATACTGGAATGTCTCTGGTGCATATTGAACAGTGGTCTGCTAATCAGCCTTTTTAATGATTAAAAAAATCCACGCTTCCATATTTGTCTTATGGGGTTGATTTCCTAACAACATACTGTAGCCTAAGAATGTGATGTTTCTGTTAGTGGACTATTTGGAAATACTGACCTATCCTTCTGTTTATTGGTAAAGTTCCTTTCCTGCCTTTGTGTGTTTTCCTGCCTGTGTGATTGTCTGCCCCACCCTGATTTATTATTATTATTATTATCTTCTCTTCACTTGTGTATTTAGTCGGTGTGTTCCTTTGTCTCAGTGCCAGTTCGTCCTCATTCTTACCTTGTATTTGTTCTCTTCACGTCTGGATCTTTTCTTTATCTTCTTGGACCTTAGATTTTGGATTTTTTGCCTGCTCCCTGATTTGAACTGCCGTGGGTTTTGACCTTTGCCTGCCTCACCATCCCCATAAGCCTCTTGTACTCTGACTTGTGCCGTTAAATAATTGAACTGCACCTTCTTTGCCTCTGAGTCTGCATATTGGTCTAACTCCTCATGTTCCCTGTTATCATGCTTGCTAACTGTGACACTTTAACAGTAAATGTCAGCATGACTTTGAACTTTCCACCAAGGGAAAATCTTTTTAAACCATCTCTTCTCTCAGATGTGTTACTGTTTTTAATAAGGTTACTGAACAACAATGCCAGAACTTTGACATAAAGAGAAAGTGTGAAAATGTATGACAAAGGCATTCGCATAGTAAACGCTCAATGTGTACACAAGTTGGTTTTCATACTGTAAAGCTATGAGCTGAAACGAATGGCTGTAAAACATATCGTATGCTTTGGAAAAAAGTTTTTGGATAAAGTTTACAAGATTGAACCTCAAGGATAAAACACCAGTAGCCTGTTGTAATTTATTACACCACATTGTCTTCAACCTAGCGTTGCCAGGGTGTATGTTACAGCAGGTGTAGCACTCACGGGCAGGCAAATAGAGATAGAACAGCCAGTATTTATTTGCAAAGGTTGTTTTTATTTTTCTTGGTCCATTCACACTGACCATTTACTTCTGGTTTCTGTCAAGTCTGTCAAGTTATTCTAGGCTGAGCTGCTTTGAAATTGCAATGAGTCAGCTTCCTAGGTTGGAAGCCAACGACATAGCTCAGTGCTTAGTGTGGGGCTGAAGGGAGTGGCAAGTGGAAAGATACTGTGGGCTGTGCAGTGTGTAAAAACACACATCACACAGAATTAAGACATATATGATAACACACAAGGCTTTGAGTATGAGTGCTTCCTAACATGTGAAATAAACAGTGTCATAGCTACTTACAAACATGGTCCTGTGCTAAAAGCTGCTAATGTATATGCATGCTGGCATTCCTGTGAATGGAAGTGGGTGTGCATTGCTGTTCAAACAGTTGAACAGCCTCTTTTAGCTAACTTGTGTAGTCATTAAGGAAGACTCCCTTTCTCCCCTCCCCGTTTCTATTTAAAGACAGACGGGAGACTGCCTTCTTTTATGTTGTTGAATGTGAGCACGCACATGTGAAACAGAAACACATGTTGGAAAATTGCTTCAAACATTTATGCCAGTGACATTGCAGCTGATTTGCCTTCCCTGAGGCCACGCATGGAGGGTGGTGTTATGCAAGAAAGGCATGTTTTTAGCATTAGGCACATTTTACTTATGAACTGCTGTTGTTGATCATACAAATTCTGTCAATGATGGATATTTCTCGTGAGGGTAGGATTCAACTGGTATTTGTAGCCAAGCTAACAGCATGACTTCAGTGATCCAGACTGACAATTGGATCCAGACTGACATATTGTAAGGGCATTTTTAGCGCCATCTTCAGGTCAACATTTGAAAATAAAATTTGGTTTATTTGATTTGTTTACAGAATAACTGCAAAACAAACGACATTCCCATCTGCTTCAGCTGTACTTTGTGTTTACTGCAAATTAGCAAATGTTAGCATGCTTACATGCTATTAAGATTGTGAGCATGCTAAACCTGCGCAACGTCAGCAATTTAGCACTGTCATTGTGAGCATGTTAGCATTCAAATGTTAGCATTTACAAAAAAATTTGGATAGATGCCTTTATTTCTATTTCTGTTTATTTCTCTTTTCCCCATCCATATGTAGTAATTATGAGTACTATTTTAGCTGTGAAGGTAATAATGACACTGTGTGTGATGTGTGTGCGCAAAGACAGTGAAAAACTTTGGCAACACTGCAAACTTCACTAAACATCTGAGATTAAGTCAAAATAATAGGAAGATGTTATGAAGCGGCAGTTCTGAGCAGGATATTTTTATTATAATTAAAGAATAATACAGTAGTTTGATGTCTTGTCATTATGCAGTGACAGTTGGACTACAGTTGAAAATTAGCCTGCTGGCTAACACTGGCACATTTACAGAAATGTTGATGCTATTTTGAATTGGTAAGGCTACAGCCTTCTCCTTATTTCTCTCATAAATACAGAAACGGGAGAGGGGAGGTCACATTAAACTAGAAATAAAATATGTCAAGGGTCAGACTCAATATATCTGCCACTCTTTCACTCTTCAGGTTAACCTTTGAACAAAAGCAAGGCAAGGATATTGTAAGCATTGTAAGATTTTAGTTCACTGATGCCCGCGTCTGTGCTGTACTGTACTTTAATGTAACTTATCAGTACAACAGACTCATGTGCTACTTGATCTGAACTCAAACTGAAATATTGTTTTCACTCATTTTGCAGTTGTTTTGCCCGCCTATCTCAAAGTGCACAATCTCTCCTGTTCCTTGCAGGCTTTTGCTTTGAAAAATCTGCAGAAAGTAGCAAGTTCCGCTGACAGTAACTCGAACAACAACAAAATAGTGACTGGAATTGATTAGTGGAGAAAAACAAGCAGTTGTCTTAAATAAAAACATTACTCAGAGCAGCAGAATGTTGAGTATGACATGACTCTGTTGTTGTACACATTTATCATGTGAGCTTTACTGGCCTTATAAATTACACAACTTTATTGCGTTGGTTATAAACAAAATCTCTTATCTGTCAATTTTTATTTGAAAATCACATATAAATATTGACATAAATCAAAGTGAGCAGCACTCCTCTTTTGTGGAATCAGTGTCTTATAGTGAGGTCAGTCAGTATTAAATGTGCTATTTGGAGTGAGTTGCCTGCTTCAGTCTTGACTGCGGTGTCAGGTGGTCATTGCTCACATGGACCAGTAAGAATACCATAGGCAGATTTCAGTCTCCAGACACCGAGGTATTAAAAGACATATGAAACTGCTTATCAGCTGGACCCTGCTTCTTTAATGCCCCGATAATCGAAGTTAACAATTCCATTTTTAGCCCGAACGAATATTCATAGATATGTTGAAGTGGCGTTATTGGTTGCTTGTTCATTTCAGTTTGGTTTAATCGTGTCACTATATTTCTAACTTCCTATTTATGCTTGGCTACTAGAGCTGAGCGTGTTAGAGAGACAGGCGGTGAAGGTGTTAAGGCATTACTGCTCTCATCTCTAAAAAAAACAACAATAAAATAAGTGAGATTATAAATAAAGAATATGTGAAGCATGAGCATGAGAACTGTCTTGCCAAATAGCCGAAAACAATGGGAGGATTCAGTGGAAAAGAACGTCACAGTGAGAGTACATGTCCTCCACTGTTATTGGACACTTGCACTGTCAAGACATGTGGAAAATGATATAAATAAGGTTTGTAGATAGAAATAGATTAATCAATAGTAGATAGTATCCTTAAATACTCAGCTAGGGGAAATACAGCAACATGTAGAAGGAAAAGAGGAAAACAGAGGAGGCAGAGGGAGTGGAGGAACGGGAACTGAGTGCTGTGTGGTGTGTTTAGTTCCCTCCCACTCTGTGATTTGCATGGGCGACTCCCTCTTTGTGTCTCTGGTTGTGTGTCAGCCAAGAGGCACAGAGCTGAACTCACCGCACTTCTGCTATCAAGCAAGACGCAACCAAGCAAAATGACAGGCGAGGAGAAAACTTAGGAAATCTTTGAGGAAAGAACTGAACCTTTGGTAAAAAAAAACAGCTGAGTCTTTTCTTTAACTGATCTGTTAAGACTTTTGATCCCAGTTGCTGTCTGAGGAAATTCTCTTTCTGGGAACCTTGAATTGTCCATGGAGAAGTATATGTCTAACTTAAGGTTAGTTAATGTTTGCCTCTCTGTGTCTGTGTATTACAGGTTTCTGGGACTCTGCCCTGTGCAGTCAGCGTCGCACCTCTCCACGCCCCAGTCGTCCTCTGAGCCGTACCCTCAGCCCCCAGCGAACGAACAGGAACAGGGAGGTTGAGGGGTCTCAGCAGAGATACCCCGGGGCTCAGTGTGACAGCGCGCCCCCGACCCTACGGCCCTGCGCTCCCCCATCTTCCTTTCGTCTGGAGAGAAAACAATCCAGCGGCCCTCTGTGCTTCGTCAACCCCTTGTTTCTCCAGACTCACCAGCACCACCACCGCTGTGAGGACGATGTGCCTTCACATGCCGCCAAGTCTAATAACAATGTAGACAATGCGGAGAAAACATCCGTGAAGCCATTAAGCAGCAGTCAAGGTAGCGAGCAGCAGGTGGACAAGATTAAACTGAGCGGCAAATCGCGGTCCCCTCCCCCTCGGCCCCCTCCCCCACACTCAATGCCACGCCGGCGCCCTGCCCCACCTCCACCTGGACCTCCAGCAGCTACCACCAGACCCAAGAGCATGCCAGAAGCCATTGCTGTGTCTGTGAGGCAACAGCAGTCCCCCAGCAGACGCCCAGCACCCGCTCGACCATCAATGGGTGCCAAGCATAGCAGCCCATCCAAAACTGTTAGCTCACCAATCCCCGTGCCTTCAAACCCACCACCTCCTAGGCCTAAGAAGCCTGATCTGGAAGCTCACCGCTGCCACATTGCCCTGGATGATGAGACCATCGCCAAGGCTCTGTCCCGTGCCAAGCTTCCATCCTGCAAGCTTTCACCTGCCGTCCCTGCTGATGAAATACTGGACAAAAATGATGGGAGCCCAGAATCCCTTCCTAATGAGAGAGGACGCCAGCGGCTCAGTGACATGAGCATGTCTACTTCTTCTTCTGACTCACTGGAATATTCACAGTCTCCTGGATTCTCTTTGGGCCTGGCCCCTAGCCCATCCCAACACCTTAATCATCCAGTGGAAGATAGTAGTGAAGACGATGAAGATGGAGAAGAAGAGGAAGAGGAAGACTATGGCGTCGGCCTGGAGACGGACCTAGAAATGCGCCTCCGTCCGTCCTTCAAAGCGCGGCGACACAGGGTCGGCGTGAGCCTGAGTGGTGGCTCTTTTGTCCTCCCCAGGGCGCTGAAGGGACGCTTCCGCAAGGTTAGCGGGATGCTCAGCTCCCTCATGACCCCGGAGAGACGGGCGGTGAAAAGGATCGCTGAGCTGTCCAGGGACAAAAGCTCATATTTTGGCTCCCTAGTCCAGGATTACATCAGCTTTGTTCAGGAGAACCGAGGCTGTCACACATCAGGGATGGATTTTCTGCAGACTCTCAGGCAGTTTATGACACAGATGAAGGCTTACCTGCGCCAGAGCTCTGAGCTAGACCCCCCTATAGAGTCGCTCATACCGGAGGACCAGATTGGTAAGTCGGCCAAGAAGATTGGCAATCTTTAAAACCATGAAGTTACATGTTCTCTTGAGATTTGTTGGTTGCAGGGTGGGATCATGTATTCTGATCTGTTAAACATCTGCTTCTGAACGCGTGGGCACATGTGTGGGATGTTTTAGTCACATCCGATCTCTGACAGTATTCACTTCTCTACATGTTTTCCTTCCAGTTTAATTTGAGAAGTAAAACCTTTTTAGTGTTGGCTCAGAAAAGAGAAGATTTACAAAATGACTTCATTCATTGACAACGTTCAGCGAGTGCCCGGGCGTGCCATTGTCTTGGGAATCAAACTACATTTACATTTATTCATTTTAGCTGACGCTTTTATCCAAAGCGACTTACAATTGCTATACATGTCAGAGGTCGCACGCCTCTGGAGCAACAAGGGGTTAAGTGTCTTGCTCAGGGACACAATGGTGGATGTCTCACAGTGGGAGACATCCACCATGTCTCCCACACCAAAGGCAAGCATCTTATCTATGCACCAGCACCACCCCAAACTAGTTGAAGTTTTCCATATTAGTCTGCCTCATTACTGGTGTTGAGTTACTGAAATGCCGGTGTGCTGTGCCCCAGTGAGTTATTCTTAGCTTCTGTTCATCGGTATGATCTCACAGTGCAGTTGAGGCTCATTTTGAAAGGCAGAACTTTCATTTAAATGTATTTGTATTCGACCTACATGGTGCTGAATGTTTGGTCAGATACGTAGTCTCTAGACTATTTCATTGAGGCAAAATTCTGGTGCGGCTGCTTGTGTTTAGACAACATTTGACATTTGAGAACTTTGGTTTCTTTTGTTACATGAAGTAGCTGTGAAAGTATTGTTGCAGCGTTAGCACTGAAACTCATACTAATTGAGGTCATGATGATTTACAAATAAAGTTTGAAGGCATGAGCAGCCCTATGAAATGGATGTTTCATTCCAGTCAGACTATTCTGGACTTAAGAATTGGCATGAATATGAAAGCATGTCTTTGCACTCATCTCAAATCCCTTGTTCATTGTAAACAATAACAGCAAAGCCTTGTTCAGGGACAGAGAAGCGCTCCATTCTGGTTGTGGTAACAGACCACACATACGCACATAAAGCATCTCACGCTAACAAGTGATCTCGTGAAGAAATGTAAATGTTTTTTAAACGGCGACTGTTGAGGTAAGCAAAAGGTTAATAGTTTTGTCTGAGCAGGCAATCCAAACTCTTTTAGAGATCCCACCATGAGAGGAATTTATTTTTTTAGACGATTAGAGGTGAATAACAGGAATACATTGTCCTGGAAAATCAAAACAAAACTCTACAAAACTCTACGAGTAGGAGCATGCAGTCTGGCTGACGTCATGCTGCAATTCTACGGAAAATTTTTAAAGAAAGGAGAAGTAGAGTTTAGCTGGTGTCTGTGCTTCTATGAGGAGTGTTTACAGAAAGATTAAAAAGAGTGTGGTTACGTTATGGCTGAAAGTCTGACGTCTTGGGAAAGAAATGTTGAAGTCTCACTCTAAATCTTTTGTGTTTGTAGTAAAAGGGGAGCTAGAAGTCCAACCATTTGAGTATTTGTAGGGACTATGATACTAAATGTTTTGTTTGTTTGGCCAACTATTTATTGTAAAGGGAGGGTGTATGCACTGCAAAAACTAAAATCTAAGTAAGATTAATTATCTTAATTGAAAGCAAAATATATTTGTCTTTTGTCTGATGAGATATTTTTATTATTAGAGAATTTCACTTTCAATTTCACAAGTTTTTTTAGTCCTTAAGTGAAATATTCCTGTTCTTTTGGCAGATAATTTTGCTTATTTTAAGTAATATTTCCCAATTTTTTATGCTTTTTTTCCTTGTTTTTGAAAGCTCACTTTTTGCAGTGTGGCGGTCAGCACACACCCTAACTTGTAATATGAGCTAACTGGGAGGATTTGAATTAAAAGGAAAGGCTGTCATTTCTGGATTGTAAATCAGAAAACTGTGTGCTTTTAAAGTACATAAAGTTTTTAGTGTACATTCTTGCTGATGAGTGTGTGTGTGTGTGTGTGTGTTTCCATGATTAAACTCTTTATACCACACACTCTCCTGCCGTTTATTGTAGTTGAGGGAAGTCTTTATACAGGTTGTAATCTTGATAAACCCCAATAACAATCATTGCTCAATATACAAAGGAAATTAGCCTTTCTGGAAGGAATCAGGATGTCTGTAATCAGAACGTGTGTGGGTGTGTGTGCGTGTGTGTGAGGGTGTGTCATTATTAGTCTCTGCACCCCTCCTTGTGTACACATGATTTGACAGACTTATCCAGCCTCTGTAAACATCCCAGGCCTCACATCGTTCATAACTTTTTATTTGTCCTAGCAGTATGCATTCAAGCACCAAACCCTTAACTCAAGCGACCCACGACACATGGTTGTTAGACAGAATGTGGAGGATTGTGCTGTAGTGTAGGTGCACATTCACCCTGTAGTGTTCTTCGGACTCACCATGAATGCAACTCAGGATTCTTGTATGTGCATGCTAACTTGTTTACGGTGTTGCAAGACATTGGTTCCATGTAGCTCACTGCATAAACACTGCCTGGAGGCTGGGAATGCGTATGCAGGAATCGCTGTGGCAGTACTGCCAGGAAACAATAAGACACAATTGTGTAAATGTACCATGCTGTACATAGTTGAAGAAGGCAGGAAATTATTTGGAGCTTATGTAGGTAGGTAGGAGGTACAGATGGAGCCATTGTAGAGGTCCGAGAGCAACTTTTTTACTGCATGCGAGATGAATGAATGGTATATTTATGAGTAGGGTAGAGTTCTATGTTGGATTTGTCAAGGGTCAGACTCAATATATCTGCCACTCTTTCACTCTTCAGGTTGCCCTTTGAACAAAAACACTAATATGTAATCTAAATGGTTAGTCAGTTATAAATTGTGTTACTTGAAGTTTTTGAAAGCCAGGAATTACAAAGGATTCACACTGAGTTTGCTACAGGCAGGATATTTTTATTATGATTAAAGAATATGACAGTAGTTTGATGTCTTGTCATTATGCAGCTATTATTTTGAATTGGTAAGGCTACAGCCTTCTCCTTATTTCTCTCATAAATACAGAAACGGGAGAGGGGAGGTCACATTAAACTAGAAATAAAATATGTAAAAAGTATCGGTATCGGAAATACCAGCAAGGATATTACTTGGCATTGGATCGGATAGGAATTAAGTGGTATCGCACATCACTAATTTTAATTCGCTTTGTTTTTAATCCTGTTAAACATGTTGTCTTGTCTGTTTAATGCATGATTTGAATTAAGGGGGGGGATTGGGGGGGTCTGACCCCCGCTAGTTAAAGCTTAGACCCCCCCAAAAGAGGCAAAACCAACAGTTCAGGCGGGGCTTTCTTACCTGTAATTGTAAATATTACAATATATTTTCCATACACATGCCTTATATTCAAGACTCTTGAAATACCACGGTATATTTATGAATAGGGTAGAGTTCTATGTTGGATTTGTCAAGGGTCAGACTCAATATATCTGCCACTCTTTCACTCTTCAGGTTGCCCTTTGAACAAAAACACTAATATGTAATCTAAATGGTTAGTCAGTTATAAAATGTGTTACTTGAAGTTGTTGAAAGCCAGGAATTACAAAGGATTCACGCTGAGTTTGCTACATTTTTGTAAAATGCTGTTTTTGTACATATATTGCACAAATGCGGTTCTTACTCTGTGTATTCCAGTCAGTGGCCACTATTGTTGATCTTGTGCAAGAATGGTGTCTTGCTTTACTCCTGTTTGAGTAGTGTTTGCTGAATAATTTCATGGCCTTTTTGAATAAAATTAAATACTATACATATGTGAAGACTGTCAAGACTTTACTGCAGCGGCCTGGGTTCGAATCCAGCCTTTGGCCCTTTGCTGCATGTCGCCCCATTTCTCTCTCCCTCATTTCCTCTTGCTATAAACATAAAGGCAAGAAATGCTTAAAAAAAAGAAACATATCAAAGAAAGTCCCATGATGACTGGAAGTTAAGAGTGTATCTGTATGTTCAGTGGAATATTAAGGACATGTATGAAAGTGTACTTTCATAACCCTTGAACCCAGCTAAATCCTGTCGTGTATGTCACTGGCCAATGAGATGGTTGGTTCTCTGAGGTTAAATGTCATTTTAGCGTTTGCGATGTCAGCTAACTTTGTAAAACACAGTGAATGTAATGTGTGTTACTGTCATCCTCTACAGACCAGGTGCTAGAGAAGGCCATGCACAAGTGTGTCCTAAAGCCTCTGAAGAGCGTGATCGAGGTGGCTTTACATGACTTCCAGGTAAGAGATGGGTGGAATCTTCTTAGCCCACTATTTCACACCATCATAAGAAAAGTATAATTTCTTAGCTAGACAAGGAACACTGTATTTAAAACACATGAGGCATAGTGAAAGAAAATTTCCCAACCTTAATTTTTTAAGGGTGAGCAGAATCCTTCCACATATCCTTACGTACTACCCTAAAAGAGGAGCTTAGAAACATTAAAGATAAAGACACAGTATTAATGTTTTGTTTATCACCTGACCTGGCCTATTGAGTCAGTAAACCTTACCATTAAGTTGGTCTGTTCTCTACAGGTGAGCAGCGGAGCGTTGCAGCAGCTGAGGGAGAACCTGGCCCTGGCTAAGACTAAGGAGCCTCAGGAGCTAGGGGTGGACGGAGCTGTGCCCCCTGACCCCATGGCTATTGAGAAGATCCGCCACAAGTTCCTAAACATGAGGAAGATGTACTCCCCCGAGAAAAAGGTGTCATTGCTGCTGCGTGTGTGTAAACTCATCTACACCATCATGCAGGATAACTCAGGTATGAAGAAGTGTTTCACTTCTTATTTTTGCAAGACAAAATGTTTTGTGAAAAGAGCTTTATTTTCCATCTTAGGTTCAGATGCTGTTTATAGCTGCTTCCTCTGTCTAACCTGTGTGACAACCACACCTACCGGCCTCTCCGCTCTCTGTCTGCTTCCTTCCAGGGAGGATGTACGGTGCTGATGACTTCCTGCCCATGCTGACTTATGTTGTTGCTCAGTGTGAGATGCCTCAGCTAGACACAGAGATCCAGTACATGATGGAGCTGCTGGACCCATCTCTGCTGCAGGGAGAGGGTAGGTCCTGTTGGTTTGCACCGTTTTCATGATCAATGACTTTCATAGTATATTTACATAGTTGTAAAAAACACACAATATACAATGAGTACAGTATCACATACTTTGGCCTTTACCCCTGTCCTCTTGGTGCATTAAGTACAGAGCTGGAGTCTGGGTGTCTTTAGCTTAGCATTGAGGAGGGAAACAACTTGCCTGGCTCTCCATAAAGTGAAAAAATAATTAAACCAAAACCTCATAAGGTCACTCAATAACAAGTTATATCTTATGTGCTTAACCTGTACGTTAAATGTAATGTAATAAATGATTATCTCAGGGTGAGATACAAGTTAATTAGTTGAATTTAGAGTTGTTGGAAGGTGTGTTTTTGAACTTTGGCTATATGTCTCCATACAAGCCTAGGCTAATAACATGCTAACCTCAGCGCCGTACTTTACCAGACATGAGATTGACACTGATGTTGTCATCTCACTGTCAGAAAGACAGCGAAAGAGTGCTGTGTCCCAGTGTTTGGAGGTTGTCCCTCCAACCTAAGCAGACAATTGGCTGAATTTGGCAGAGTCGTCAGCTGATTGCGCTCCCCAGGGGCTTTGAAAGCTGGCCCATGTATTCAGTTCAATCTCTTCCTTCCTGCATGTTACAACCCATGCTGTGGCATCTTCTTTGCACTTAGTTTATTTAATTATACTCATTTGTATTTCCCAAAATGTTGGTCTATTTCTTTAAAAACGTAAGGTTAAAGGTCCAACACATGTAAGCAAAGACCATAAAGGGAGAAGCCAGAACCTGTCCTTCTATCTGTGTTGCGCATGTGAGGAGGAGACTGGAGGGGAAAAGACACTTCACAAGTACCCAGGCTCCTCAGCTGTTTAAATATTTCAGAAGGCGTTAACCTCCACTTCAAATTATATAATGTTGGATATTTGAGGTGAGGCAAATTACAATGTGATATTATGTTAATGTCCATTGCAGCCTGTTGTATAACCTGGTCAATGGAAGGAGGAAGCACTTAACTGTGTGCCGACAAAAGTTAGAACAATTAGGTTGTTGAAGTGTTGCCCACTCTCATTGAGCGTGAGACTCTTTTTATACTCTCTCACGCCACACATCAATTTTCTCATGCAGGGAAAAACAAAAAAAGCGGTTGAGTTTTGCATTATAAAAATGCTCTGTTTGAGACTGGCTCTCTGCTCCAGGATGCTTCCCTCTGAAGCTGCTATGAGCTGCCCTTTATCGGAGGTGCTGAAGTAAACATTTGTTTGGATTTGTGGTGAGATTTCTGCCTGATCTGAGAAGTGTTTACAGTTAGTTTCTGTTTTTCATGTCTCATCCAGTACAGTCCCAAACGGTTCTGTCTTTCAGACGGTCTGAAGGGGATACTACCATATCAGCACTAACGTAGGCTAATGCACAGCAGAGTGTAGGGCAGGTAGACTTTAAAAAAATATTTATAAACTTTAATTAAATGATTCTCGTAATATTACAACTTTCTATGACTCTCTACATGTCAGGGAACACGGATATGTGGGCTAGATTTTGAATGTGCTGAAAGTTTTGAACATGAGCAGAAAACTCACTGAAACACAGGAGCTATGAAAGTCCAGGCATCTAATTTTGTTATAGATATATTTGTATTGTGTTTTTATTCTAAACTTTCCTCCCTTATACTCCTTATGTTAGTCTGTGCACATTTACTAGGATTTAGGTCAGAGCTGTGAGATTGTTTTGTTTTTTTCCTCTCCTGGAATGTTCATTCAAGGCTGAGAGAGGATCTCTGTTCGCCAAAACATAGAAACTAAAGACTAAATCATGCATAAATGTGTGTTGACTCGCCAGGGAAAATGAGAAAACACATCTGAAAGCAATACAGAATGCCTGAGAGCCTTACTACAATATATTCTGTTATTTATTTAATATTTTGAATTGTCATCTGCCGCCTGAATGTGTTTTCCTTTCTGGATTTTTCACCATAATGCAGGAAGTGTTTAATGTTCTGTCTAAGTGTTCTGTATATCTCCAAACTAAATTTAAAAAGTTGGCAGCCCTGTGTAAGTTATATAAGGATTCTCCATATATGCCTGTAGTTTCTGTTTTGCCTGCTCTGATCAATATGTTTATATAAATAAGGGATAAAATGACTAAATGTAATATCAAAAGCAGACAATTTTCTACAGTTCACATCAGTTCTACGAGTCTAACGAGTAAAACTTAAAGCAAGAAAGATGAAATATACCGGTAGGTTCATTTTGTATATCTGTGTGATTATTTGAGATCTAATGAACAGGTGAAAAGAAGTTTGCTATACCTTTTTAAGTTATTTTAGTGCAATAGATCAAAATAGCTATTTTATCATTTAGTATAAAAACAATGTATTTTATTCTTGCTTTACTATTGCAATTGTGTCACCTTGGTTCTGTCAAAACCCTGCCATCAAAACAAAAATGCCAGGTTATTTTAGCTCAGTGTTAGCACTGGTTCCATGTGTTAGTTTTGAGGGTTGCCTTTAAGGCAAAACTGTATAACCCTTGCCAAAGTCACAAGTGACACTTGATGGATGATGGTTGTATGCTATAACGTAGCATAACCGTAGCATAGTAAGTAGTGAGGAATCATAACGTAAACTCAGTTATTTTCTTTCCAAACAGCAATTTCTTTCTGAAGTCAGCTAATGTTAGCCGCTATAGGGTACCGGTTATGCCAGAGTAAGAAAGGCTGTAGCAGCTAAACCTGTGAGTGTACAGAAGATCCTGGTTTCTTGCTTTTGCATTCATTCATATATTTTATTTGTAAGAGGAAGCTGTGTGTGACTAAGAAGGTAGTCAAAACTGCCTATAGCTCTTTGGAAATGTTCCTAATCACTGCGGTATAGTCTCGATTGAAGACATGATTGTTACTACTGCAGTGAAATAGAAAGAGTTTTCTTGTGGGAGATGATTTCATTTTCACTTAAGTTTTAGGATTCTTCAGTTTTGTTTTAGTTCAGTCTAACACTGGTCTTCTACCAGGACCATCTCCGCTGAGTTGAGTTGACCAGGAAGGTTTGGGAAGCATGCTAGAGAAATGTAGGCGTATGAAGGACATTGGTAGGAAGTTTCAGCTGGCGTTTGATTTGAATGGGCTGGAACAGCTTCAGAGGAAAAAGCAGGCTGAACCTGGCCAGAATGAAATATTTTCCCATTAACCTGGCATGTGAGCTCATTGCCCAAATATGATGTATATCCTTTGGAAAGTACAGTTTCTTTTTTTATTACAAAGGAGGAAGTGTTTGACGCTAACATTGTAAATGAAGTCTTATGGTTTCATTTCTAGATCACTAACCCTGCTGGGGTTCAATGTCAGTTCAGTTTTGTTTCTTTTTCTCCATTAAGCATTTCAAACATCTTTCTCTCCTTTCTACCCCCCAGGGGGCTACTACCTAACCAGCGCGTACGGAGCCATGGCCCTGATCAAAAACTTCCAGGAGGAGCAGGCAGCCCGGGTGCTGAGCTCCGAGGCCAGGAACACTCTGCACCAGTGGCACCGCCGGCGCACCGCCCAGCGTTCAGTGCCGTCCATGGAAGACTTTCAGGTATCACGCCTGACCTGAACTCACCTTGAACATCCAGGCAGTGAGTCTAAGTTGTACCAATTCCAAATAAATCCAAACTTCGTGTTCAGTATTGGAAAGGTGCATGAAAAGTGCTGTGTTTGGCCCTCATCAGTGAAAAGGACCATCTACATTCTCTACTAACATCACAGCATGTGGATCCGGATCTGTGGTTCAATTTGTTGGTAGAAAGCTCCCTCTAGTGCAACATTTAACAACTGCATGGATTTATTTCCACTCCACTATAACTGCATCTGTTTTTTTTTTTCTTCTGCCTGCCTGCTGGACTCATCAGTCATTCTTCTTTTATTCATTGTGGAGATTTCTGTTTGTACTGCCAAATGTTAACACAGGACTTTTTGTTTCTCTCTGTAGAACTATCTCCGTGTAGCCCTGCAGGAAGTGGACACTGGCTGCACGGCCAAAACCCTGGTCGTCCACCCTTACACAACAACAGAGGAAGTCTGCTCAATCTGCGCCTACAAGTTCAAGATCCCCGACCCTGAGAACTACGCACTGTTTCTGGTCACTGAGGACACCAGCCAGCAGCTCGCCCCGGACACACACCCTCAACGAATCAAAGCTGAGCTCCACAGCCGGCCCTGTGCACACATCTTCCACTTTCTTTACAGGAGGGTGCCTAACCTTAACCTCTGTATTCCAGCTGTTATGCACAATGGAAACTGCCTTCACGTTGAATAGTGGAGGAGTATGTAACAGCTTGCTTCACTTGATCCTAAACAACAGTTCTGTTTTGTGGTATTGTCTCGGTGCTTGAAGATGTTTGTATTGTAAATAGATTTGAGGATGTCTGAATGGAAACAGAAACCAAGCTGTATATTGGCATAGTGATGCAGATATAAAATGTTTTTTGATCAAATATGACGCCATGCAAATGACAAGGTGATTTATTTTTATGAGGAACCACAAAGGGGAAGGATGGAAAGTGTTGGTGTTTCACTCACGCACCTCAAGATTGGGGCTCAAATTTGGGTCTGAAAGAATGAAGGAATTGTAAGTTTGTTCCAGGATTTGTTCAAGTTACCAACAATTTAGCCTTTTAGAGTCCACGTGGCCCTTATCTGGTTTAATAAGGCTGTAAATTGAAATTGTTGGACTGTGCATAAAGGGTTGGTTGGCAGGATTTTTAGTATGTGAAGTGTTAAATTCAGAATGTTGGACATCAACGACCTCAAAGCAAAGGTCATACATTTTAATACAGTGGAAACCACTTATAGCGATCACATCTGTCCATGTCAAATTGATCACTAATGAGTGGTTGATCATTTTAACCGCTTTTTCTTTTTTTCTAATGCAGACATTTTGATTGAACACATTTTTTACAAAAGATACCTGCTGCTGTGAGAGAGTGGGGTGGCGATAATTACACACTGTAAAAGTGGGTAAAACTAACTGACAGCAGAAGGAAGATATCACATGTGTGCACAGCAAGCACACGCACTCGCACATAGTACAGTAATGTTAATAGAGCAGGCAGGGACAGTCATTACACCCTGCGTCAGTCCCAAAACCTCGTACAAATAAATTAGAAGAGAGCCTAAACGCAATGACAGCTTGCAAAAACTGAACACTGTAAGCAGACTACTAGATTACTATAAGCAAATGATTTAAAAAGCTTTTGTATAGGAATGATTCTGTAAGCGGTTTCCACTGTATTGCATTTTATGTAACTAACGTTTGCCTTAACTGCTGTGACCCCAGGTGCCTTAGAAAGGAATTGAACATACTGCGTGCTACTGAAATCTTTCAGCTGTCATCCAGTGATTAGTCAGCTTTCATCCAAATGACCCAGATAAAAACTAAAACATTGATTTAATAAGTAAAATTATTGTTTTTTTTTATTACTCTTATTTTTATTTTGTGCAATTGCTGGTCAGTTGTAGCTTGTATGTCTGTGTAGAAATATTTTTATATTCAAATGTTACCTTTTTCATCAGTAAAGTGACAAAGATTTGTATTCTGATTTAATATTTCTGTACTGCACTCAATAGTGGACTTGGATTTATGCCAGTTATTTCTCAAAAGTCAATTAAAAAACAGTTTCTATTGTTTGTTGTGCAATCTTTGCTACATTATTTTTAAGAGGACGTGTCAGTTATTGCTGGCGACCTGTCCAGGGTGTACCCCGCCTTTCGCCCGATGTCAGCTGGGATTGGCTCCAGCCCCCCCGCGACCCTGTACACAGGACAAGCGCTTGACGATGGATGGATGGTGTCAGTTATTGAGCATAATATCAGATTTCTTTGTGGATCAATACTAGCCTTACCAGCCTTAAATTGCTTAAATCAGCCAGACTTAGCTGAGGTGCTGGAGCAATAGACAGTCTACTTGATGTATTTACAAACTGTATACATTATACAGTAATTAAACAGATTTTTAATTATTTGCAGGGGTTAAATGTAAGGTGGTAAGTGTCGTGGAAATTGCATCTTGCTGGTGAGGGATTAAGCAAATAATTCAATAACAACCAACTGTTGTCTTTGAAGAATTTATTAACAAAAGAGAATAAACAGAGAAGTACTAAAACACAAATACAGCTGGTCCAGAGACCTGCCGCCTAGGGAGGCTTCGGGTGTCTGGCCCCGAGCAAAGGGATGCATAATCATTTACACAGTCGAGGTTTGTATGTTTTGGGAAACAGAGATCCTCTCTCAGCCTTGAATGAACATTCCAGGAGAGGAGAGAAACAACAAGAGAGGGAAACACCCAAACAATCTCACAGCTCTGACCTAAACCCTAGTAAATGTGCACAGACTAACATAAGGAGTATAGGGGAGGAAAGTTTAGAATAAAAACACAATACAAAATTAGTAATAATAATAGTAAAATAATATACATATAAGATTAAATGTAAGAGGACACAATTTTCTGCCATAACAGTAAGGTAAGAGCATTTTTGTTGGTTTTATATATAAGGTCAGATGAACTTTTCCTGAGAGAGCCTTCTCTAAGAGTCGTTGCATATTAATTGGTGTTCAGTAGTAGAATGTGAATCAGTTCACACCATTGAACCTCCCATGCCTTTGATTTGAAAGTGGTCTAAAAAATAATGTCACATTCATAATCATCAAACTAGCCTTTCTACAGTTCCTATGATAAATAATAACATATTATTAGTCGTACACTACAACACCTCCATGTTGTAGATCTCTTGTGTCGAACCATCACTGACCCCAACTTTTACTCCTGAGTCTTGAGTCTTCCTCTAACTTGGGGTTCTTTAAAGAACTTTAGCAGATCACTTTCTGGAGGAGTGAGTGGTATTTCTTAAACTTGTTCTGGTCAGTGAGTACTATAGATAAAGATGGTGGTGAGGGATCAAATAAAGGTCAGTAGGTAAAGACAGGTTGTCAGATATCAACTAAAAAGTAGCCTACTACTGAACATCGGGTATCTATCAATACAGCCAATGATTGTGAATGTTAAAGTAAAATAGCAATGATGAAAACATGGTGGGTGTTTTATATTACAATTTAAAGTGATCACTTAAGTACGTGATGAACAGTCCGCCTTGGGTTAAAACATGAGCATAAATCAATAGCATTACAGTACCTTGAATGGAGGATCTTAAATTCATAGCACACCTTAGGTTTTGAGGAGCTCTAAGAGTATGATCAATTACCATGTTGGATCAAAAAGCCAATAAGAGTGAAATATAGTAAAGTTAATGAATATGTTTATTGATGCATCAAGAAGAATGTTACATAGTAAAACAGTCTTAAAAGAAATCATTCTCAGCAGGACTTCTTATACAGGCTGTTATGCATTAATGTATGACACCATACGTCATGTCTACTGCATCACCGTTTAAAAAAAAAATTACACTGACACTAATTATTAATGCTGTGAGCAAACTCACAGTAACACAGAATGAACATGCACCACACATAGAATTGTGCAATACATATCACAGCAGGTTGTCTGACACTGTCAGATTTGTTTTTTGGTTTGATGGCTGAGGTCTGGGCTTAAGGAAAACCTTGATGGCTAATTGGATGAGTCCTGTCAGTCTGGCTAATGCATCTTGGCAGATGCTGCCCCCCCCCCCCCCCCCCCTTCTCTCACCCTCACATCTTGTTCTTTCTAAGGAGAGGTGAAAAAGATATAAAGGTCTGGCTTGGGGAGCAGGGAAAATCACACCTTATGCACCACAGTGGAACATATCAACAGGGCAGGAGCACTACATGCTGCCTGTAGGAATTGTGAAGACCTTTATAGGAGGCGTTTTCACCTAGATACATCAACATAATAATAAATAAATAAATATAAATATATAATATATATAAATATATATAAATAATAAAGTTTACTCTCTTTAAAGGGCTGTTCATGTGATTAACTGTAGGCTCCATCAGCCTGGGCATAGGCGGAATAGGCAAATACTAAGGGCGCCGCTCACCCCTTGGGTCGCCCGAGCGCCCAAATTATTTTTTTTAATAATTTTTTTTTATTACTAATACAACTTAAATATTATGGATTAAAAAAAGCGATCGTGAATCCCGGGGGAATCCTGAATCCCCCCGGTCCGACTGAGTGACGCATCAATCTCCATCGCCCCCGCCCTGCTGAAAAAAACCCCGTTACCTGTGTGTGATTGTAACGTTCGCTAATTTGAATTTAAACTTGTATTAGAAATGCAAAACTTTCCACATCTGCCATCAAAAATTATGACAAACATTGAGCTCCTGACTTTCCTGCACGAGAAGAAGCTGATGGAAATTTTCCCCAATATGTGGGTCGCTCTGAGAATCTCTGCCACTCTACCTGTGACAGTCGCTGCTGCTGAAAGGAGCTTCTCTAAGCTCAAACTGATTTAAAAACTACCTGAGATCTACAATGGCTCAAGAATAGAATAGTTATTTATTTTTTGTGCAATGGTCTTATTTATAATTTTTGGAATGTTACATATGCTGTAAGAAAGGCAAGGAAAGCAAAGGAAAGCAAGGTTTCTGTAATATAGTTTTTTCTGCAATAACATAATATAATATATACATATTTATATTGTATCTATAATACGTTGTGTGTTTGTGTTTCCAAAATATTTTCAAAATAAAGAAAAACAAGACAAACCTGTGCAGTTTGTTTCTGTGTAAGTTTATGAACAAAAATCCAGGGGCATCAGGTGAAATCTTGCTATAGAGCAGCACTGCTGTGGATTTTATGAGCGACTAATAAATGTTTATTAAAATTTATTTATTTTTAATCAGATTTCAGCTTTTAAGCGAGGAAAACAGGCTTGTGTGGGCGGGTCGGTCTGGTCACACTCATCTATCTGGTCTACGCCCACCTCGCTTGCTCGGGTACCCAGTTCAGCACAGCGGCACAGTCAGGGATGTAACTTTAGTTTTAGTTACACTTTCACACCCCACGATTTTTTATTTATTTATTTTTGCTTTGTCTTTCACTAGTGCTCAAGTGAGCTCCGCTGTTCCGTCTGTACGGGAAGGGTCATGTTCTCGTGCTTCTTGGTGAGTAGGCCGTGTTGCCGTTACAGACAGTTACAGAACAGCAACGTTAGCCGATAAAACGTTAACTGTAACCGTCATCTGCAGCTACGGCTAAACGGTTTTAGCATTAAAGGCTAATGCAAGCTTTAGTTCACCGGAAGCTAACTCAACGGTTATAAAGGGCGTCACGTCAAACTTCCGTTGCTTTCGTTTTCTAAAGCTGTTTTTCAGTGGGTTTAAACTAAAAGGTTTGCGTTAAGTTACAATATTTTACCATTGCTTTGGCTCAACAGAGTTTCAGTTAGCTATAACGTTACTCCTTATATTGAAATTAAGAAAATTTAAATGAAATTATCCGCTTCAAATGAACACTTGTCACATGACGCAGGAAGTTTACCAGAGCATCGCATTATGTAACTTCTGTTCATCTCTGAACATGTTTATTTATCTTCATTTAACTTTTCTTTAGACGGCAGCAATAGTTACAACACGAAGCTACAGACACACTTAATACAGAGACATAAACATAAACCAGACAAAGTTAAGTGCCAAAGTGGTTATTACTCTGTTTTTAAAAACTATGTATAACGTTACAAGACTGTTCATATGCAGCCTAAAATAAAGTGACTAAATAAGAGGTTGTTATAACTGTTACACCAGTGCAAAGTTCTGCGCATAGGTAATGACATAAATCATTGTTGTGTTTACCTCTACAGTATGATTGCATCATATCCCCTCAATCCCCTCTAAGTTTAATCACACAGTAAGCTACAGTAATACTGGAAAGAATATAGAGTAACACCAGGCTTTTCTTTTGTCTGCCACTCAGAAATTGTACCTGCCACTTTTGAGATGTAAGCGTTAAATGAAGGATGAACATTCAACTTATCAATGTAAATAAAGTTGTTGTTTTTTTTTTTGTCTTGACCCACCTCGAAGCTACAAGTATTGTTGCTTGTATCTTGTTTAATTATATACACATTATAGGTAGCTAGTATTGGAGAAATTAAAAAGCAAAGGTGGATCTTTTCCAACCATTACGTTTAACAATGAACCACTGACTCTTAAACTTGGCCCTCTGACCCCTTTCTATCGTTGGGAACTACCTGTCCAACTGACTGTGTCCTCTTCTGTACTAGTGCTGCAAATTCCAGCTGTGAAACAAAAATAAGACGCTAAGTCAGTCCAGCTGATTGAACGAAAAACAGCACAGAGTGACTTATCACCAAAACAAACTGCTAACTTCCTAATCAAAATGCCTGAGCACATGTATGCACACATGTCATCTGTATGCTCAGTGATAAGCAGTGACGTTTATGCTAAAATTATGCGTCTGTATTCTGGATCTATTTCTGTCAGTACCACAATCATGTCATTTAGGCTGAATTAAGAGTTTTGCACACTGAAACTTTGCTTTGTGAGTCAAAGCAATCGTAAAATAATGTAATACTTTTTATGGATCAAAACAAACATCACAATTAGCTGTGATTGTGCAGGAAATTCAAATTCATCTCTTTTTTCAGGAACCTCTGCCTCCGTGATGGATCTCAAAACCTGTCTCCAAACCACACTGAAGAACAAGTATCAGAAACTGAATGAAGCGTACTCATTACTTCCTTCAAGACTTTGCTATCGGGCGCTCAAGCACGACTACCCGTTACCAAATTTGCACCAGCATGAGTTTAGATATGTTGACAAGTCTGACCTTCATGCTTGGATTCTTTTTGAAACTGTCCTGCTCACTGATATTTTATCATGTGATTGCAAACACAACAGCAGAAAAAGAACAGTCATTACTTTGGGAGTATGTGGCGTCGGGAAAACCACAACAGTGCAGAGTTGTGCTCTCGATTGGGCCGAAGGGAAAGGGTACCACAACATTCACCTCCTTTTTCCTCTCACATTCTGGGAGTTAAATTTGCTAAAATGCAAATTGAGCCTAATTGAGCTTCTCAAGACGTTTTACCCTGATTTAAAGGAGCTCAATGTTTCCAGCTTGAATGAAAACAACGTGTGGTTTGTCCTCGATGGACTGGATGAGTATCATCTCGAGCTAAACTTCAGCTGTTCAACTGTGAGTGATGTTTCTGAGGTATCCACAGTGGATGTTCTAGTGACTAATCTGATCAGGGGGAATTTACTTCCCCAAGCTCACATATGGATAACAACCCGATATGCAGGAGCAGCACAAATCCCTCATTGCCATTTGCTTAAAGAGACTGAGGTTGAGGGGTTTAATGATGAACAGAAGGAGCAGCACTTCAGGACAGTTATCGGTAATGATTATCTGGCCAACAAAGCCATCGACCATGTGAAAATATCAAGAAGCCTGGACTTCCTTTGTCAGATACCGCCAGTCTGCACCATCATGGCAACTGTTCTGAAGAATGATCTAAAAGCAGATGATGGGTTTAAAATAAATCCTTTGAATCTAACCCAAATTTACTCAAATCTGGTCAAAGCATCAAACTCTGATATTATTGCCAAGCTGAAAAAGCTGGCACTGCTTCGGATGAGAGAGGGTAATGTAATGTATGAGTCTGACCTTCAAGCGAGTGACATAAGTGTTGAGGAAGCGTCCGCTTTGGCCAGAGAGTGTCCACTGGTGTTGAGAGAAGAGAATGGGCTGCACAACACCACAGTGTTTCGCTTTGGTCACTCGAGCATTCAAGAGTTCTTGGCTGCGTGTACCAAGTTGGACGACATTGAAGCGAGTCCTACCCCGTCTGTTAACTGTCTGTATCTCGTGGACCAGGCGCTGCAGAGTGATGAGGGCAAATTTGATGTCTTCCTTCGCTTCATCTTTGGCCTCATTAAGGAGCGCGGGATGTTGGAGCCCACCGATCGGCTGTTTGTCTACACCAAGAAGAAGATCCTTGACAACATTTTGTCTTACAGAGCTGTGGGCCTGTTCCACTGTCTGAGGGAATATGACCGGCAGGCTTTACTGAGCGAAGTCAAGTCATTTCTGCACTCGGGCATCTCTCCGATCTACGGATTCACACCGATGCATTGGCAATTCATGATCCAAAGGACCAGCAATTTTGAAGGGATGCGAGGACATTTTGAGATGCAAGTGTCCAAAAGATGTGATGAAAGTCTTCTCAGACACATACCACATATTCTGAAGTCCAAGAAAGCCATGTAAGTTCAGCATCGATACATGAAAATTTGTACATTTACACTTTTTTTGTTTTTTTGAGACATCAGGCGTGTTGAAATGGGAAATTTGACTTTTTCATTGCTTTGAGCACCACAAACAAAATTCCATTTGGTTTGATTGTATTTGGGTCTGAGAGGTGGCCATCTCAAAATTTGTTTTTTTTGTTTGTGACCCCGTTGCTGAGGCCATCAAACACATTTTCCCCCTCACTTTTGTGTGATCACTTCATTGTTGGTTTTGGTCTGTGCATGCAATGTGTTTACAATTTTTTATGTGTCTTTGACTCCCATCTCCTTGCAGGCTGCGATTCTCTAACCTGACAGATAAGTGTTGTCCAGCTTTAGCAACAATCCTCAGCACAAAAGAGTCCTACCTGAGAGAGCTGGACCTGGGATACAACAGCATCAGTGACGATGGAGTCGGGAAACTTGTGGAGGGGCTGAGCGATCCGAATTGCAGACTGAAAACACTCAGGTTGCAAGGCTGTGAAATGACCTCGCATGCCTGTAAATATCTGGCCACGGCCCTGACCCAGTCCCTCAAACTGAAAGAGTTGGATCTCAGCAGGAATGAAATAGGAGATGATGGGCTGCGACATCTTGCAAATGGCTTGAGATCTTGTGAATGCAAGTTAGAAACACTAAAGTAAGTATTGGGAAACAAACGTACCTGTTCAATCCCTTTTACTGCATAACATGTTTATTTGCACATAAAATGATGATGATGGTAAAATTACACAGTTAAGAGAAATAATTATATCATAACAGTTAAAGAAATCACCAAACAAAATTACCTTAAAATGTAGCAGTGGAAAAAATAAAAACTCAAACTAAATGTGTTCATTATAGAAATGTGGCTTTATAGATATTTATTTTGTAATGTTACTATCCCATTTCCTTTTCATGGTAGACTATCACAGTGCAACATTGAGGAAAGGGGCTGCTGTTATCTGGCCTCAGCTCTGCAGAGGAATCCCTGTCTGAAAGTGTTGGATCTTAGCATCAATATGATCAGAGACAAGGGGGCCAATGAACTCTTCGCAAAATTTGATATATCACAGCTAACAAAGCTGGAGTGAGTATGAGTTAATATTCTGCTTGTCTTGTCAACATGACATAACAAACAGATACAAATTACAATAACATTTTGTTTCTCTTAATGTCTCTTTGGCAGGATGTACCACTGCGGCCTCACTGCGTTAAGCTGTGAAAATATTGGGGCATATCTGAAGGTTGAAGCCAGCAGTCTGGTAGAACTCAATTTGAGCAACAACAACTTGACAGATGCAGGGTTTGGGCTCATCTGCGAGGGCATGTACGCATGGTGTAAACTGGAAAAACTCAAGTAAGACTGCCTTGCTCTTATATTTTGTTAAGTTTGAATTATTTCTGCAATATTCAATTAAAACTGCTCATATACTAATAACTTAACATCCCTAAACCATTGATTATTTACATTTTGTCTTATTTCCCTTCAGTGTTTCAAGATGTGCAATCAGTGGTGCAGGTTGCGTTTATTTGGCAAAGGTCCTGTGTTCAGTCTCGCAGCTCTACAGTGGGTGGATACAAAAAACAGACTGGCAGGCAGTCGAGCTGAAAGACCTTGACCTCAGCATGAACTGCCTCAGAGACAAGGGAGTCAAAGAAATTTCTGCTGGACTGAAGAATCAGTACAGCCATCTGAAATCTCTCAAGTAAAATATTTTCAAATGTAATTCTTCATTACAGAAATGTTATGTTAGATGAACCGTGTGCTGTAATATGATTTTGTTCTAATTCAGCCTGAGTCACTGCAGCCTGACCGATGAGTGTTGTGCAGAGCTTGCATCAGGATTTGCGTCAGAGGAGAGCATTATCAGCGAGCTGGACCTGTCTGGCAACAACCTCCAGGACAAGGGAGTGAGGAAACTCTGCATCGGATTGAGAAGCCCTCATTGTAAACTTGAGAAGTTATCGTAAGTTGTTTTTTTTTTTTGTTAAAATAAAATGAACAGATTGTTGTCAGTCAAAACATGGGTCCAGATAACTCAGCCATTTAGTAAGGACAGCTACTCAAAGTAACTATTAGTTACTTTGTTAATAATTACCACAATATGACTCTTAACAGCTTGTCAGTCATGTTATTTGAAGGCCCACAGTGGGTCCAAATATTAAAGCTTTTATTCCTTTAAAACACGTTTTATGAAATTGAAACATGTTGTAACTAATATATTGTTTCTCTATGCTGATTTCCAAATCAGCAAGTAATCAACAAGTACGACATTATGGGCTGTGTGGAGCAATTACAGAAACCTGGCACCAAATGTCCTGTCAGATATGTAGTCTCGTTTATTCACGCTGTGATATTACCACCATCACATGTAAATCAATGAGAAAACCAACACGTCTCAAACGAAGGGCTGGGTATTTGAAATGTTTTGATACATGTGCTGATGCTGACGTTTCAGCAAATGATACTTTCATTTACTCTGAAAGCAGGAGATGCGATGTAATTTCCATGAATGGCCAGTTCCTGACACATGGGGCGGTACTGTAGCTGTAAATGTTACTATCGGCGCGTCAGTTACGCACAGAAAGCATTCGTCATCTCTCTGCTGGTTATCTGAAGTCTGATGTGGCACGGTTATACGAGCCCACAGTATGAAATAAAGTAAGAGGAAGTTAAGAAAAGATTACGAAAAAGCTCTTGCATGAGGCCCACTGTTCTGATCCTTATAGAATAACCACATGATACATTGACTACAATTTAATTTGATAGCTGCCAATATTTAGAGTGAGCTGCTATATGGTACCATGTCAAGTACTCCTGTTTCTCTCCAGACTGAGGACCTGTGGCCTGAGCTCAAAGAGCATTCAGTTCCTGATTGCTGCCCTGAAGTCAAACCCCCAACATCTGGCAGAGCTGCATCTGATGGGCAACAATCTGGAAGACTCAGGAATCCGGATCCTTATGGAAATAACAAAGAACCCGAAATACTCCTTACATACAATAGAGTGAGTACTTATATTGAGGACTTTAAAATGCCTATGTGTATTGCTCTTACTTCTACATCCTCTGGTCAGTATGAAGCAGTAATATAGTCCAGGAAATGAAGTTTCACTCACTTTCGGACTCCTGTCTCTATTTTCTTATCTTTCAGTGTCTCAACAGATTGAGGAGACAGACAGAAGGCAGACTCAAGGACACAAACTGCTACAACTGGCTCACATTTCTCAGACCACATACTTCGCTGTATTTCGGTGCATATTGTAGCAACTATATCAAGTGGTGTTTTGTTTTATTTGTTTGCCTTATCTACTCTTTTTAAAGATTATTTTCTAAAGATTATTATCTTATTTTTTTATAATACTTTGTACAATAGATTTATGTTTTTATGCAGTGCCTTAGTTCTAAACCGCCATGTGTTTTCTCAGGTTGCAGTGACCTGTACTTGAAAGTGAAATAACCCTGAGAAATATGAAGGGACATGTATGATGAATGTTATGTACTAAAGTAGTTAATCTAATGCAGTAATTGGAATAAAATGTAATCTCTTGTCACCGCAAAATAAACTGTTAGTGTTGTTTTGCAGTGTGTTCATTGTTATGTTGTAGCAGCACTCCATCTTGTGGCGAAACCTTTCATTTCAGTAGTTGACGCCAGTTGGGACCTTGGCTGCGTGTATCAGTGCAGCGCAGCAGGCAGCAGCTCCTGTGTCACCGCAGTGAACGCACTTCTGAAAGCAGGAAGCAAAGGTATGATACAGGACATTCTCCGATGTATCACAATAACAACACGTTTTGTCAGCATCCTGCAACAGGCATGTTGCAAACAGCTGTTAATGTCAGGGACGTTTGAAATAGCTGTTAAGTAAGTGCAGTGCAGTGCAGTGCAAGAGTCGGAATTGATAGTTGAATGCAATTTGGCTTTGATGTCGTGGTAATGTGATCAAGGCGAGCGGTGCCAAAAAGTGCAGAGGGGTGTGCATTGGCACCAAAGCTGGGTATTTGCCGGGTAGGCCTGTATGGCGCAGTTTCAGCGGAGAAATAGCCCACTTGGCAGTCATGCGGGAATCTCCTCTGCCATCATGCTGCCACAGCGAGATAAACAGTGTTGTGTATCCGACTGGAAAGTGGATGCTGAGACATGCAGACATTTGTAAAAGACCCTCATCCCTGCAGTGTAATCCTAACTGCGTGGTCATTGCGGCAGTATGTGTTTTACTGGCATTTAAACGAAATGCAAACGCATTTCATTAAGAAATTCGGATAAAGTAAAGATTTATTTGGATAAGAACAGTTATTTATTGCGAGCTGTTACCTCAAAGCCACGTGAGCCGTAATCATAAGATTCGCACGTGTAGGGACTGTTATGTTGCTGTGCACTCTGAAAAAACAGATGCAATTGTCCCTCGTGGAGTTTGTCTTTGATATCTGGTGAGATGGACAAAGCTGTAAACTGTGGAAGATAACTCAGTTTTTCCCCCAAAAAAAACTTTCCTCGAGATCAAAATATATAAAAATAATTAGCAGTGTGATGTAGACGCGAGCCAATGTTGCGCGTGCACGTGTTGCGGGCGCGTGCCCCCCAAACAATGTGAAACGGGTTCTAACGTTTCAACGGACGTCGCGAGCTTTATCTACAAAGTTAGCTAACTCACTAACGTTAATTATTCACATAGAGCAGAAAGCACAAGGTAAGAGGAAAGATATACAGTTATAATATAAAAATATTAGTTCCAGTAATATTTTGAAGTAGCATAGGCATATTTTTCATTAAACATACATGTGATTATTGTGTTGATATTAGCTTTTCTCATAATATTACACAAAATGAAAGGTAGTGTCCGAGTTAACGTTTTGAGATTAACGTTATATTTGAATTAGGCTAATTGAATAATAATAATTATTATTATTATTCAATTAGCCTAATAATAATAATAATAATTATTATTATCTTTTTAAAGGTAAGCTTAGCTAGTTTGTTGAAAATGTGGCTCAGATTCAGGATCAGCCGTAACTTAGATGTTAACTTATTACACATCCATAACTATATGTACTTAGTGTAAATTCAGAAACTGCTCAGAAAAGTAACCCAGTTTGCTAGATATGACAAGGTACTGTGACTTAGTGTTTTATTTAGCTGGATGCAAGTCCAGCATGAGGCTGGAAATCTGTTTTTTGAACACAGTTTAGGAGCAAACCTGTATGTATTGGTAAAGCTGAGTACAAAAGGAGACAAGAAAAGAAACGGTAAAGAAAAACTAAACAGAGGCTCATCCAGTAAATCAATAAAAAAAACAAAAGAAAATCACAAAGGGTGAGGGTTATACTCAATAAAGTCCAGTAAAGAAAGAAGGTTCAGCACATTTCTTAGTTTTTTAACATTATATAAGTACATTTACATTTAGCTGACGCTTTTATCCAAAGCGAATTACAATTGCTATGCTGGATCAATGATGGGTAAAGTGTCTTGCTCAGAGACACATTGTTGGATGTGTCACAGTGGGGGAATTGAACCTGCGTCTCTCACACCAAAGGCATGTGTCTTATCCACTGCATCATCAGCAAGGAGTTTCTGTAAGACAGTGTATCTGTTGTGCAGTGATGTCACCTCTTAAGATTACCTTTGTTCAGTTAAAGACTTGTAGAAACTCAACCACTTCTGGCTGAAAGTCATCCCCTTTTTTCCGTATAGTGTAACCTCTGCAGATACACATACCTGTTATACCTAACATAGGTTGAACATGCTCAGGAGGGGGTGGGGGGTGATGTGTTTATCTGATATGATATAAATAACTTCTCCACACATGTTAATTACCGTGCTGTTATTCAATATGCATAATTGAAAGTATGTTTGTATTGTTTCTCTGCACTCTGGCAACAGTAGCTTTAACATCCATCATTGCTTAGTTAATTGCTGTTCATGTTTTATGGACACAAAGTGCAAGCCCAGTCACTGTGCAGATGTCTGTGAAAGAGTGACAGTTCTCCACAGGTCCGCGTTATTTGGCTGCATGTTGTTGATTCTTGTTTGCTGGGATCTCACAGTATCTTCCAGGGTGATCTACTATGGGGAAGGAGAAGCTCCACATAAATATTGTGGTAATAGGACATGTCGACTCAGGCAAGTCCACCACCACCGGCCACCTCATTTACAAGTGTGGGGGCATTGACAAGAGAACAATTGAGAAGTTCGAGAAGGAAGCTGCTGAGGTATGACTCATATTGTTCTCACTTGAATTTAAAATATTATATTTTTAATGCTTTTTTATTGTAAAACTGCTTTCCTGCACGCCACTAGGTGTTCTAGTGCAACACTATCTTGTTCTGTGTAACTGGTGTCTTGTCTAACAAGTATCATGTCTATTTTTGTGTCCTTATCCTGTAATCTGTGTGTTGTTACTGTATTATTATGTGGTGATGCAATCACTTTGACAGCACTTAGCACAACAAAAAAACTCTAATTGGATTGCTGAAACATTTGGGAAAAGTGGTGGTTGTAAATGTAGCTTTATCTGTAGCCTAGATAGCCTTCAGCTATTTTCTCCCAATTACCAGCAAAACAGAGTAGTACACCAACTGTCACGGTGACTTTCTGAGAACTAATTAATTGCAAGAGTTTATTAATCATTGTCTTAAGAAGTTTATAATGGACATTTGGAATCCAAAGTTTGCATCTAGTCACAGCTTTTCATAATTTTCACAATTGTTGCTCATTGCCACCTGACCTCAAAGAGGTGAAGTTGAAAATACAACAAGGAAAGTTTTTAATCAGTAGAATTAATTAGTAAAAAGTAATATAACAAGTACTCGTCAAGTACCGTAAGTGTAGGTAAAGTTATTGATCAAAAATGCTGGGATGTGAAGTAAATGTTACACGTCTTTACTTTCCCTTCCATATCCCCTAGATGGGAAAGGGTTCGTTCAAATACGCCTGGGTTTTGGACAAGCTGAAGGCAGAGCGTGAGCGTGGCATCACCATTGACATCTCTCTTTGGAAGTTTGAGACCAGCAAGTACTACGTCACCATCATTGATGCTCCAGGACACAGGGACTTTATCAAGAACATGATCACTGGGACTTCTCAGGTAGAGGGAGAATGGGTAGAAGAGTAGAACCTGCATGACAGAGAGAGAAAAGTACTTGAGAAGGGAAGACGTTTTCACATATCTCTCTCTCCCTTCCTTAAGGCTGACTGTGCCGTGCTGATCGTGGCTGCAGGGGTGGGCGAGTTTGAAGCTGGCATCTCCAAGAACGGGCAAACTCGTGAACACGCCCTCCTTGCCTACACCCTGGGAGTGAAGCAGCTCATAGTGGGAATCAACAAGATGGATTCCACTGAGCCCAACTACAGCCAGAAGCGCTACGAGGAGATTGTGAAGGAAGTCAGCACTTACATCAAGAAGATTGGCTACAACCCTGACACTGTGGCCTTTGTGCCCATCTCTGGCTGGAACGGAGACAACATGCTGGAAGCCAGCGCTAATGTGAGTCCGCAGTGAGACCCAAAGTATATATATATATATATATGTTGACAGTATTTACAGATAATGAATAATGTCCTCACACAAAGCCCCTATGTTTAGAATTATACTGTATCTTAAGTGATTGTTACATATTTAGATATAAAATTATGCAACTTCAAACTGTTCATCAGTTCAGTTCATCTGCTTTTGGGCTTCTAATTAGTTTGAAATGTCTAAAGGTGCTTTCAGACAGTGAGCTTTTACCGCCACGCCTCCATTGTCTTCAGTGTAAACACAGCTGCAGCTGTGTTGCTGAGATCGGCTGGGAGCAGCAAGGAGAGGGAGGGCGCCTGTCGCTCTTGTGAATGTGCACATCCCTTTGCTGCTGCATTCAGAGTTTGCTATACCATTGCTAACCATTTCCTTCCAACCTAATTTATTTAGCTGTGTGATGATCTCATGCTAAGTGGATAGCAGCAGCCTGTGGTGTACAGACTAGTAGAAACGGAGGTAGGTGGGAGCCATGGCGGTGTAGTTGCACCAAGTTACATAGGAACATACCACTTTTGCATCCAAAAAATTGCTGCAGAGGCAGCACGGTTGTGTATTTAGCTAAGCAATGAAATCACCTCGCTGTAAACCTTCCCAATGAAACCTGCCTCTCCACAGATGACCTGGTTCAAGGGCTGGAAGATCAACCGTAAAGATGGTAATGCCTCAGGCACCACACTGCTGGAAGCTCTGGATGCCATCCAGCCCCCCACTCGCCCCACTGACAAGCCCCTCCGCCTGCCTCTGCAGGATGTCTACAAGATTGGAGGTGAGGGTGGCGTTGGTGGGAGTGTGATTTGTAGGTAGAAATAAACTGATGAGACGGAAGTTGTCTAATTTTCAAGTTCTTCTAGTGTTAGTGATACCAGATTATATGGTAGAAGTAGTTTGGGAATGAGAGCCCCTTGTAACCAGTGCTGGGTAACTTGGGTAACAAGCTCTCTGCCATTAACTTAGTAGGGTACTTTTGCGTTACCAAAAATAAAAAACTCTTCGAAAGTCATTTGCGTGTCTCCAGCAATTATACTGGCTAAAACAGGAATAACAGACGCAGACCCTTTACAGCCTCTTTATGTTTTGATTACAAATTATGTGTTTATGCAGTTTTTTTTTTTACAAGCTGTTGTCAGACTTTAAGTTACTAAACTTCCTCTCTGCCAGGTATTGGGACCGTGCCAGTGGGCCGAGTAGAGACAGGAACCCTAAAACCTGGCATGGTGGTGACCTTTGCCCCGGTCAATGTAACCACCGAAGTCAAGTCTGTGGAGATGCACCACGAGGCCCTGACTGAGGCGCTGCCTGGTGACAATGTGGGCTTTAATGTCAAGAATGTGTCTGTCAAGGACATTCGCCGTGGCAACGTGGCTGGAGACAGCAGGAACGACCCGCCACAGGAGGCAGCCAGCTTCACCTCTCAGGTCTGCATACAGGAGTTCAGGGTCCAAAATTAACACCGATCAAACACCACATGTGGGTAAATTTAGGATTTGGCAGAAAATAAATTGGGTCACCAGCTCACTATCCACAGCTATTTTGATGTCTGCAAATAATATATATATATATAGCAGCTTAATTCTGCTTTGATGACTCTGAAGTTGGCTATATTTCATATCAGTATAAATATCAGAACAGTGGCTAGCGTGTAACATTAAAAATGGCAGGGCTACGGCTACACTCACACTCTCTGAACTATATTGACTTAATCATCACTGCAATCTCCGCTCCTGCACGTGCCTTTGCCTGTCTCTGCTGTTGTTCAGGTGATTATCCTAAACCACCCCGGTCAGATCAGTGCTGGCTACGCCCCTGTGCTGGATTGCCACACTGCGCACATCGCATGCAAGTTTGCAGAGCTGAAGGAAAAGATTGACCGTCGCTCTGGTAAGAAGCTCGAAGACAACCCCAAGTCCCTGAAGTCTGGAGACGCTGCCATTGTGGACATGATCCCCGGCAAGCCTATGTGTGTGGAGAGCTTCTCCGAGTACCCCCCACTGGGTAAGTTACTTCATTAGAACGTCCAGGATGTTTGCTTGTGGGTCAAGTTGCCACACTATAATACTTTTTTTCGCTTCAGGTAATTGTGAATTGAAATGACATTTTAATCAAAGCTAATAGATGTCCTGTCCACCATGCTTCCTAAGGGAGATTTGCAGTCCGTGACATGCGTCAGACCGTGGCAGTGGGAGTGATTAAAGGTGTGGAAAAGAAAGTCACCGCTAGCGGTAAGATCACCAAGTCTGCACAGAAGGCGCAGAAGGCCAAATGAACGTTGTACTGGGCTGCTGCCCCAAACGCTCACCGTGGCCGAAGACAGACTAGCACCTCGCACCTTCTGCACACCATAGTCAGCGTCTGGTCTATTATCACAATGCATCGCAAAAGCAGACGAAGGAAAAAAAAAAAACTACCGCCCTGTTGGTGATTAACATGTTACCACACTGTTATATGTAGGTTTTATTGTAGGTTGTGTGCTGTTGTAGTTAGAATAAAGCTGCTAATTGATCTAGCTAACAAACTTAGCACCGATAATAAGGCATGGATGTTCTTTTGCCAGGTCTTTGTGGTAGTAATGATTTGTTCTAGCTTTAAAAGAGATATGCTACTAGCCAGAGGTAGATCGGCTGTTCGCATGTTTCCTGTTTGCATCTTAGAGAAACAAGCTCCACGAAACTCCCGGTCTGATACCTGTACGCTTCATGCCTAGCACTTTGCTTAACTTAAGCACCCTTGCCTTAGCACTGTTAGATGTTACTGTTTAATTCATGCACCTTAATCACTGTTATTTGTGAGCACATGTTCAGTAAAGATGTATAAACAGTATGTCTTTGCTCCTGGTGTCATTGCCAAGCCAAGAACCTCACTGTTTTAAGTGAACGATGATAATGGGAAAGCAAAAAACAAACCGCTTCATACAATGTCCTTTATTGTTGAATGAGAATAAAAGTTCATCTGCATTTTCATTACATTACAGGCTTCATAAATCTAACTGAGATTATTACTAGTGCGTAAATATGTGCACATAATTTAAATAAGTTAAAAGAAACGTGACAGAATGTTAACATGTCAAAGGCCCGTTTTATGCCCAGTAGCAAAATGATCTCTGAATTAAAAAACAAAACAAAACGTAAAATGCCTCAAGTCAGAACATTTGCAAGGAGAGAAAAATGAAGACAGTGCAACTATTTCTGTTTGGCAGAACCTAATGCACTTTTCAGGATTGTAGATATGGAGATCAATATGTACCACAAATGCAAGGCACCGATATACTGCATGTACTGCACATTTTGTAGACTTCATTTCAACTGGGGTCTTTTTTAAATTCAGATGCAATCAGTTGGAACCTTAACTAGTGATTTGTCTAAATGGCATGGCATTCATTTTCAGTTATAGATAGGTTTGGATATGGCAACCTCTTCATGCAAAATATACTTAAGTATATGAAGGAAATTAAAATCCACTTCTTTAAAGCAAACTGACCCAAAACCTCCTTCACATGTAATGTAGTCTTTGATACTGGATTTCAGAATTCATTGAGGTACTGCTAGCTAAGTGTGATCATTCACCTCTGAGGCTTTGGATGCTATATGGGTAGTATCTACCTGCATCTTGTGGCGCTCTCATTATTTTCCTATACTTAGAGAGAAGCACTTCATCTTACCTGATGCACCTGATTCTGTACCATGCAACGGGAAGAGGAAGTTGGTCGTTTCTCATTTTGATGTCACTGCTCAGCAGTTCAAGCAGCAATAGATGTTCTGCTCATATTAGTAATGAAATAAGCAATACATTCTGCAGCAAGCCCACTTCAAGGATGCAAATATAATCCCACATTATGAAAAAAGTAGACAGTAACCATGATTTAAATATCTTCCTTTCATGTAAAAATAGGGTGGCAAAAAGCCAAATGCAAATACAAAGTTAAATTTGTGAACATTTCTTTCAGTGTATCTGTTCCCGACCAAAACAAAGCTCTTTGCTAAGATGCAAAAATATCAAAATATCAAACAGTTTTTTAAACCAAGAAATGACATTCAAGATGTGTTTCCATGAATAATTGATCTGAAAAACAAACAACTGCTCCTAAGATCCCTTGCAACAAAATGGACATGTATCGTCATATTTTGTCTAATGTTGGCATTATGATATACAAATCAGTTACCTGACTTTTCAGACTTGCTTCTAATTCAAGTAGTTTCTGTTTGTTTATTGTTATGAGGTAATGCAATGCATTTTTCAAAGCTAAACTGCATAACCACACAATGACCATGTAGCATTGGCAAAAATCACCCGTTGTTCACTGTGACGGATTACATAACTCAAGCACATTTCAGGAGTCTGCTAATGGATTTACGGTATGGAAATAATAGCAACCCGATGCCAGAAACTGTAAAAAGAATACGTTAAAAAAATCTACCCGCATTTGAAAATGGTCAGCAAAATTGGCAAGTACACAAGACCCGTAGTTTAGGAGCCAAAACTCAACAAATACACATCGTTATGGTCCTTGTGTGTGGTATTTTGTTTTTAATTTTTGGTTGAGGATAGTAATTCATATAATTTAAAGATTATTAAAGAAACTTCGGGAGGTTATCAGGTTTTCTAAAATGATGGGGGAAAAATAAATATAGTAACAAGAATGGAAAATGAAAAGTTTGGCTATGGTGAGGTAACATTCACTTCACTATGGAGGCCTGTCATGTGATTAGAGAGACAGGAAGGATTTTGTTTACATGGCCACGCAGTTTAAGTATTAAGACCCATTTTTTTCCCCATTAATTACAACGGTTGTGAGTGGTGTTCTGGCTTGGTGTTCATGCCTTTCTACTTTGTTAAGTGTAAACCGTATCTTGCTAATCTCAGTACCTTTGAAAACATGCAATACTCATGCTGTGTCTCTAGGTCACATATAGTCAAACTGTCTTTCAGGACCAAGTTTAGTTGGCTTTTTTTAATGGCAAAGTCTCAGCTTTTGGGGGTCTGTGTTCCCATTACACAAGCCTTCATCTCAGATTTGGCAATCATTCTTTAAAACAACAAGTAACTCATGCAATGATATGTCTTGTCATCAGCCTGTATGAAAATACTGTGATTCTTATCAAATGGATCAACAAGAAAATAAACAAAAAAAGGACCCATTGTTATATCCCACACCCCTCCAAAAAGATAAAAACCGTCTTCGTGAGGTGAGATTTGCATGTACATGTAGGCAAATTTATTTTAGCCGTACGTGTGGCATGTTCAGCAATTCGGTGCTGCCAGCAGAGGGCGAGGATGCGTGACCGCTGGCCAGGCTACGATTGGAGCCCTGGGACCCTGCCCCTGCCCTGCTCCCTGTCCTCAGGAGCTCGGAGGAGTAGGTGTGGGCCTCAGCAGTCCCCAGAGACAGGAAGTCAAATCCCTGCGCCTCTATGTCCCTGTCGCTGATAAAGAGGTCTTCCTCGCCCCAACCACCTCCACTACTCCTTCCTATACCGCCTCCTCCCCCAGGGTCTTGGCTACAGCTGTGGAAGCCAATGGGGGAGTCACTGCCTGTACTGGGGCTTGGAGATGACAGGCTGTGGCTGTGGTGGGTGTCCTGGACAGTCCCCGAAGCATGCATCAGGTCCTGCACTGACATGGATTTGCCCAAGCCTCGGTCCATCTGGCTGGGGCCTGAGCAGCAGCCCAGGGCTGGAGGCACCAGGGACTGCAGCTCCAGGCTCATATGTCTCCTCCAGGAGCCCTCCTCCTTAGGGTTTAGCTTGCCATTGCTATTGGTGCTGCCGTGCAGCTGCCGCCCAAGTCTTCCCAGCCCTAACCCAAGGCCCAGGTCCTCCCCAACACTGCTGTCCTCCATCTGCATCCCTAAACCTCCACAAAAGTCCTCCATGTCGGGGGGCACTTCTGTGGAAGTCGCTCGTGGCAAGTTGTTCGGGCCCCCGCTTCGGCTGGGAGGGGGTGGTGGTGGAAGCCTCGCCAGAAGAGGAAACCCTCTGTCTCCGGCTCCTCCGCCACTGCAACTGCTGATACTGTTTGGGGTGAGGATGGGTGGAGAGCTTCCCACAGCCTCATCGGTGCCACTTTCAGGTGTGGTGGCCTGAGCCTGGGAGTGATGATGGTGGGGGTGATAATGGTGGTGATGATGGTGGGGATGACGCAGTGGTGACGGGCTAAAACATGAGGATGCAAGGCCGGAGGGAGGCGTGGAAGAGGAGGCATTGAGGTTGAGCTCGTTGGGCGGTGCCAGGATGAGATGGAGTCCTCCCTGGGAGAGCTGGGAGTTGGTGGAGGAGCGTGTGACACAGCCACCAGGGGGAGGCGCTCCGCTGCTGCTGACCTGGGTGGAGCAGGACAGGTCCTTGCTGAAGACGGAGGAGTGGTAGTCAGAGGTTTGTTCCAGCTCGAACAGGGGCAAAGAGGAGAGGGTGAGGGCTGAAGACGAGCCTTTACGCAAAACCTGCCGATAGATGTCGAGCAAGGAGTCGAGCTTCGACTCAATCGACTGGACCTGTGAGGAGAGAAAGGGAGGACAGGAGTGAGGAGTGTACAATTAATAAAGCAAGAAAAGAAAAATAATGGGGAAGGAAAGCATTTTAAAGCCACTATCTATCTTTGTCTTTGATTTCAAATGATTCTAATGGCATAAGAGGTGGGGATACGTTTAAATATGGGGATGATGCTGCTCATTCTCAGGCAGACCCTCCTGGAAGACATTAAAGGTGTTGCACTCGGTTGCACTTTACCAATCACTGCATGAAGAGGGTATAAATGTCGCAATGTTGGTATTGGAAAGTTACAGAAATTGTCAAACAACGTGGAAAAGAGAGGGGCGTTCCGAAGCTATTTGGCCACCTGACAAGCAGTTCTGATAGAAAAGTGTTACTTTCAGTCCTTCACACTCAGATCTGTGTGCATTGTTATCTACAACAGTGTAGTTTTTTGATACCGCTGGGGGGTGCGTACGTTGTGCATAACATCCATCCATCCATTGTCAACCGCTTATCCTGCGTACAGGGTCGTGGGGGGCTGGAGCCAATCCCAGCTGAGATCAGGCGAAAGGCGGGGTACATCCTGGACAGGTCGCCAGTCCATCGCAGGGCCTCCCTCACTGCATTATATTCTATTATATGTACATATTTTGAATTGTCACTGGCCACCTGAATTTTGTGTTTCCCTTTATATAATAAGACATTTGCACCATAAATTGGTGCAGAAATTTCCCCCAGAATGCAGGAAATTAACTGTTTAATGCTCAAAATCTTCTGGGGGAAGACCCCCATATCCCCCACTTGTTAAGTGTCCCCTCCAAGAAACCAGTCTCTGGCTTCACACACAGTTTCTGGGAGGAACATTCACTTATTAGTTATATATAATTGCTTTTCACATGGCTTTTTTGTTACCTGGGAAAGTGATTAATATGTTGTTTGTCATTTACTTGTGTGTTTTGTTTTTAATAACAATAGTAACAACAAGAATAAAACAAAAATACAAATTAAAACACCAAATGCCAAAGTCGATACTATTTGTTGGGTGGCGGTAAGGGACCTGGATAATGGATAGGGGGGCACAGGCCCAAAAAAGTTTGAGAACCACTGCTCTAAACCGTTAGTCTAATAGAAGAGTCTTAGCAGACAAACTTTTTATTACCCCCCCCAAACTCCATTTGGGGGCTGCGTCTTGTCAACTCTGAAGTATCAGGGGATTGTTGGAACACAGATCTTTTCTCATGTAACACAGAAGTCACTTAACGGCGCGCACTGCTCTGCTGCTAACTCGCTGCCATTAACTGGGAAGCTGGTTAATTCAATTCACTTCAAATTAGCTTTATTGGCATGAATGTGTAACAACAATATTGCCAAACTATCATACAAACTTCATAAGATCAACCCCATAAGCGTACGTGTGTTTGTGTTAGAAAAATTTAAATGTATTTAAAAAATTAAAAATAAATAAACAGTAAGCATGTGTGTGTTAAAAACAAATATGTTAAAAATTAAAATAAATAAATAAAACAGTAAGTGTGTGTTAAAAAAAATTAAAATATATTAAAAAGTTTAAATAAAGTAAATAAAATAGTAAGCTTGTGTGTGTGTTAAAAAAAATTAAAAATTAAAATAAATAAATAAAACAGTAAGTATGTGTGTTAAAAAAAATTAAAATATATTAAAAAGTTTAAATAAAATAAATAAAACAGTAAGCATGTGTGTGTTAAAAAAATAAAAATATATTAAAAATTAAAATAAATAAATGAAACAGTAAAGTATGTGTGTTATTATAATAATATATTAAAAATTAAAATAAAATAAATAAATGAAACAGTAACGTATGTGTGTTATTATAATAATATATTAAAAATTAAAATAAAATAAATAAATGAAACAGTAACGTGTGTGTGTTGTTATAATAATATATTAAAAATGAAAATAAAATAAATAGATAATAATGGTTAGCTCAGTTAGCGGTCCTATTTGCTGATTCTACCTGGACGTACAGCTCGGTTTACTGGGGAAGTGTAGGTGTAGCACATCAGCTTTGGTGCGCTAGGAGAAAGAGGTTCTCCCAGGGCGGGGAACGTCTCGGGTTACGTATGTAACCCTGGTTCCCCGAGAAGGGGAACGAGAGACTGCGTCGGTTACGACACTATGGGAACGCCTCTAGGCGAAGCAGGTCTGAACGTGAATGAAATCACTCCAATCCTATTGGCTTGTTGCTAGAACGGTAAGGTGTGACGGAATAACCGGAGGAGTATAAAGCACACCTGTACACACTCATCATTAGCTTAAACTATGAAGCAGGCGCTTCAGGCGGGGAGAGAGGTGCGGCGGGCCGACGCAGTCTCTCGTTCCCCTTCTCGGGGAACCAGGGTTACATACGTAACCCGAGACGTTCCCCTTCGAGGGAACTCGAACTGCGTCGGTTACGACACTATGGGAACGAGATACCCACTAAACCGTGCCGAAAACCCCGCCTGCCCCTGTGTGCAATAAAGTGGCACGACTAAGAGGAGAGCGCACGAGTGCCAGGTGCCGAAGGAAGGTCAAGACTGTAAAACCGAATGAATGTGTGCGGAGTGGCCCAGCCAGCCGCTAAACAAACATCCTGCAAAGAGGCCCCGGAAAGGAGGGCTCGAGAGGCCGCCATGCCTCTGGTAGAATGAGCCCTCACAGCCACAGGTGAAGGCAAACCGCGCACCTGATAGGCCAGGGAAATAGTCTGAACAATCCAGTTGCTAATCGTATGTTTGGATGCAGGGAGCCCAGCCCTGGGGGACCCAAAACATACTAGCAGCTGGTCAGCCTTCCTCCAACGGGAGGACCTCAGAGTGTAAATACTCAGTGCTCTGACCGGGCAGAGCAGATGAAGCCTCCCGTCCTCCGCCGTCACATGAGGTGGAGGATGAAATGCCTGCAGCACCGTGGACCCTGCCGCACAAGAAGGCACTTTAGGGATGTATCCTGGACGAGGGTGCAGGATAGCCCTAATGTTCCCCGGGGCAAACTCCAGGCTTTGCGGGGAAACCGAAAGCGCTTGGAGATCCCCCACCCTCCTCAGAGAGGTGATAGCAAGGAGAAAGGCCATCTTGAGGGTCAAGTGCTTAGCCTCAGCTGACTCTAGGGGTTCGAAGGGGGCCTCAGCCAACGCCCCAAGAACCACCGCCAGATCCCAAGGGGGAACCTTGGACCGAGTCGCAGGTCTCATCCTCCGGGCACCACGGAGGAAACGTACAACCAAGGGAAGTTTCCCCAAGGACCCCTCCCTCAGAGGGGTGTGGAAAGAGGAAATAGCTGCCACGTACACCTTGAGGGTGGAAGGGGAAAGACCAGCAGAGAACCGGTCCTGGAGGAACTCAAGTACCTGAACCACCGGGCAGGTAACAGGGTCCACCGACCGCTCCCTACACCAAGTGGAGAAAACACTCCACTTCAGGCCGTACATCCTCCGTGTGGACGGGGCCCTGGAGCTCAGGAGGGTCTCGACCGCTCCGGCTGTCAGACCCGCCTCTAGATACTGTGCCCCCTCAGGGGCCAGACCCATAGTCGCCATATGGCGGGGCAAGGGTGAAGAACCCGGCCCTGCGCCTGGGACAGCAGGTCTCTCCTCAGAGGGACCCGCCACGGCGGGCCGTCCAGGAGCGACATGATGTCCGAGAACCATACCCGGGTTGGCCAGAACGGGGCTACGAGCAGTAGGCTGACATTGTCCTGGCGGACCCGCTCCAGAACCCCCGGGAGCAGAGCAACTGGGGGAAAAGCGTACAGACGTAGCCTCGGCCACGAATGTACCATGGCGTCCAGACCCAACGGGGCTGGAGGAACGAGAGAAAACCATAGCGGGCAGTGCGTAGTCTCTTGAGACGCAAACAGATCCACGTCTATGGGGCCGAACTCTTCGCACAAGAGCTCCACCACTTCGGGGTGAAGTCTCCATTCCCCGGGCCTCAGCCCCTGCCTCGACAGCAGGTCTGCTCCCTGATTCTGCGTCCCCGGGAGATACATCGCCCTGAGCGACAGTAACCTCTGCTGGGACCACAGGAGGATCTGACGCGCCAGTCTGTCCAGAGGGCGCGAGCGCAGACCGCCCTGGTGATTCAGATAGGCCACCACCGTTGTGTTGTCGGAACGAACCAGGACGTGGTGGCCTTGGAGATCGGGCAGGAAACTCCTTAGAGCCTGGAACACTGCCAACATCTCGAGACAGTTGATATGCCACTCGGGTCGATGCACCTGCCAGGATCCCCTTGCAAAGCGGCCGTCCATGACCGCGCCCCAGCCCGTGAGGGAGGCGTCTGTCGAAATAACCAGCCGGCGACAAGACCCTCCCAGCGCGGGCCCCTGGGACAGGAACCAAGTTTCCTTCCAAACTGATAGGGAACGAAGACACTTGCGCGTAACCCAAATCAGATGGAGAGGATTTCCCCTCGGGGAAAAACCCTTGTTCCTTAGCCACCACTGCAGGGGTCTCATGTGCAGTAGTCCAGATGGTATTACGCTGGACGCAGCTGCCAGGAGACCCAACACTCGTTGAAAGTGTTTCATAGTGACGGCGTGGCCTAACTTCACCCCTCTCACGGCGGCCAATATGGTGTCGACACGTGCCGGAGACAATTGTGCCCGCATCGTTGTTGAATCCCATATAACCCCTAGGAACGTAGTCCGTTGGGTGGGCGCCAGCACGCTCTTCTTTGCGTTGAGCCTCAGCCCTAAACGCCGCAGATGAGCCAGAACGACATCTCGATGCCGAACCGCCAACTCTCGAGACTGGGCCAGGATGAGCCAGTCGTCGATGTAGTTGAGAATCCGGATGCCCCGGAGCCTCAGCGGGGCCAGTGCTGCATCCATACACTTGGTGAATGTGCGAGGGGAAAGTGCCAGGCCGAATGGAAGAACCCGATACTGGTAAGCCACACCCCCGAAGGCGAACCTCAGGAACTTCCTGTGAGAAGGACGGATGGAGACGTGGAAATAGGCGTCCTGTAGATCTATCGTGACGAACCAATCCTCGGATTGGATGTGCGACACGATGGCGGGGATGGTGAGCATCTTGAACCTGAATCTCCTCAGAGACCGGTTTAGAACCCGCAGATCCAAAATAGGGCGCAGCCCTCCGTCCTTCTTGGGGACTATGAAGTACCGACTGTAGAAGCCGGCGTCTCTGTCTGGGGGGGAGACACGTTCCACGGCCCCTTTCCTCAGCAGAGTCTGAACTTCTTGTCCCAACACCGGACCTTGCTCCGGGCGGACCACAGTCCAAACCACCCCGTTGAATTTTGGAGGGCGGGTTCTGAACTGTAGTCGATACCCATCTATGGCAGTGCGCAGGACCCACGGAGAAATGTTCATCAGGCTCCGCCAAGCGTCTGCAAAGTCTGCCAACGGAACCAGCCCCTCGGGGCTGGTGGTCGGTGTCTCGTGTGATCTTCTGGTGGACCCCTGAAGCCCCAGAACGGCAGGGGGGAGCCGCCGAAGATCCACGGTGGGTGAGTCGGGATGCCGTCCGCCTACAGACCCTCGGGGCAGGCAGTACGGTGCGGACTCGTTGGTGGCAGGTGCGTCCTGAACGTGTAAACGGCGGGATAACATCACCTGTTGCCACGGCGGAGGGGACCTCGGTCGGCCTCCGGGGGGGTGGGGGGGGTGCGGGAGGGGAGAAAAACCTCCCCTACCCTGGTCTTCAGGACCTCTTCCCTGAGCTCCGTCGGGACTGGATGACGGTCCTCAGATCGCGTCTCACAGAAGGCTGAGGTTGAGAGCGTCGCCTCGCTGCCCCAGCCCCTCGGGGGGGTCCCCGAGAAGCGACACTCTGCTTCCTCTCCTCTCGGTAGGAGCTTGTAGAGGGAAGGGATCTACGCCCGGCAGCCTCAGCTGCCTGGGGTGCAGACCGGCGAGGGAGGTACTGGCGGAACGCTTCGCCTTGCGTCTTAATGTGCTGGAACCGATCCACCACAGAGTCCACTGCGTCACCGAAGAGGCCCGCCGTGCTCACCGGTGCATCGAGGAGGCAGCTCTTGTCCCTCTCTGACATGCCCGCGAGGTTGAGCCATAGGTGACGCTCCGTGGCCACCAGAACCGACATGGATCGACCAATAGAGCGGGCCGTTTCCTTGGTGGCCCGGAGAGACAGGTCTGTGGTTCTGCGAAGTTCCGCCAGATCTTCCTCAGAGGGACCCCCCTCTGAACCATCTCCTGAAGCAGGTCGGCTTGGTAGGCTTGAAGCACCGCCATGGTGTGCAAGCTCGCACCTGCCTGGCCCGCTGCCATGTACGCCTTCCCCACGAGGGTGGATGTGGTGCGACATGGCTTGGAGGGTAACGCCGGCTTCTCCAGGGAGGACGCAAGTCGAGGGGAGAGATAGCTCGCAAGCGCATCCTCCACCCGAGGCATCCTCCCATAACCACGGTCCCTAACCCCCATCACATTGCTGTAATTAAGTGATCGGGGTGTGGAAAGCCGTGTAGAGAAGGGTCTGCCCCATGATTTACTCAGTTCATCATGTAAATCAGGAAAAAAAGGCAGAGATCGGCGTGGAGGTGGTGCGTGGTGCTTAAGAAACCTTTCATCAAGCTTCCCACTGGCCTGTGGTGTCTGCTCCTCCTGTGGCCAGTCGATGTCGAGCTTAGCCACGGCTCTAGTCACCACCTCGAGCAGCTCGTCATAGTCGGGCGCAGCCTGATGACGTTGCCCCGACACCCGGAAGTCATCGTCCATTACGCCGAGCACATCCACCTCCTCGGAGTCGGATTGCTGCAGCATCTCCGGATCCAACCCGCGAGCGGGAGAAGCCGAGAAACGGGCTCCCGAACGAGGAAAGGAAGCGTCGGAGCCAGCGGATGAAGGTCGGGAAAAAGCCTCAGCCGTCCCGAAATCCTCCGACAGATCGCGCTGTGAGCCCCATGAGTGAAGCCGCCGGGCCGCCTCAGCGGCCGCAGGGCCCGCACCACGGGGAGAACACATCCGGCCGTCCTCAGAAAAGAGAGCCATGCGGGACCTCAGTACCCGCACGGAAAGGGTTTCGCAATGGCCGCAGGCAGCCCCCTCGAGAGCTGCCCGGGCGTGCTCCATCCCCAAACATGAGACACACATCTCATGTGAATCTCCATCCGTGATGTACCGAGGGCAAGGAAAAACACACTTTCTGTACCTCTGATTGCCGGACATGCTGGTAGACTTCTTCCTCGGGTAAGACATTTCGCTGCTTGTAGGACTGGAGCTTTCTTCGACAACATACAGAGCGCCTGCTGAATAGAAAAAAGCTAATGATGAGTGTGTACAGGTGTGCTTTATACTCCTCCGGTTATTCCGTCACACCTTACCGTTCTAGCAACAAGCCAATAGGATTGGAGTGATTTCATTCACGTTCAGACCTGCTTCGCCTAGAGGCGTTCCCATAGTGTCGTAACCGACGCAGTTCGAGTTCCCTCGAAGGGGAACTCAGCAGGGAATGCTACAGCGCCAGAACCGGTACAGGCTCGGTGGCCTCCCAGTATATCACGGCCGGACTGCAACAGAACACATCCTCTGAGACAGTCCGAGGCCAGTTTGACATTTTCAGTACAGAGATGATTAACAGCGGCTCCGGAGTCAAGTGGGAGAGGAGAGGAGCCACCGACCAAACCAGAGTTGGTGATTGATGGAACAGTGAAACACTAACCAAGACGGTTTTGGTGAGTTATATTTAGTTTCTGTCTAGTTTGAATGAGTTAACAAGGCAAGTAGTTTGGTGAAAGACTTGAATTCAGAAGGTGTATGGCTTTATTTTTCAGTTTGATAATGAAATGTGGTGTAATAATATTAATAACTTGACATTTTGTGAGTTTATTTTGTTTATTTATAAGACTGAAAAAGTGAACAGAGCTTGTGTAATGTAGTGAAATCGCCACTCACACACATCTTCCAGCTGAAACTATGAGGAGGCAGAGCTGGAGCCTGCTTTATCATAAAAACGTGAAGCAGGGGCAAACAGTTAGCCTGGCTCTGTCTAAAGTTAAAACAAAAACAAAAAACGCCTACCAACACCTCAGAAGCTTACAAATGAACGTGCTGTAGCTCATTTGTTTTAACTGTACACAAACAGAAATATAAAAGCGACATGTTGTGGTTTTATGTGGAGTTGATTACCATTTCTTGATCTTGTCGCAACTGTGATGTTGCCACGTTTGTCACTGTACTCCACAGTATTACTCGCAGTTAATGAAAATGTTATGGCAAGCAACTTAGGTCACTGTTACATCGAATATATACCACAATATTATTTCCCACTTGCTGTAGTACAGTATCATTGTGTTTGCACTGCGTAGGCAACCCCCCATATATATATAGAGCAGAACACGAACCTGCCGCTCCACCTTACAGACACGACCCAGCATGCTCACGTCCTCTAAAATATCTCCATCAGACAGCAGCTTCTCCCGAATCTTCTTATCCAGAGGGATCTGGCCTTTCCCAAGGATTTGGTCCACTCTGGAACACACACACACACACAAACACACACACACAAGCACATGCAAATACAATAAGACATTAATGATAGGAAGACACAGACAAAAAAAAGTAGAAATCCAGAAGAAAGCCCACAGCAAGGAAGGAAAGTACAGACTGCAACAGAATAATACATTTATATTGAAGCACATTTTCTTTTCCAACATATACAGGCGAATGAGAGGTTATTCTTCCTCAGTGGATTTGACAAATACTGTATGCTGGAAGAGAAAACATTACCAACCATGTAATGATGGCACGTTACTAAATGTGTTTCTTCAGTTGTTACTCTTAATAAAACCTTGTAGTCGTGTTGTTTTACAGCACACATTCAGTTTCTTTGTCTCATTCAGCACTTCTTGCTCAATCCAGTGAAGTTCAGTAGAATTTGGTTACTAAAATATTTATGTACAGGATTAAATTCAACAGAGGGCCGTGCAATCATAATGCCACAAACAGTTTGGCGAAATATATGATTAAAGCTTTGACAAGACCCTCAAACATCAAACCAAAGTGTGTCTTTTCTTTTCCGGTGTGTTTTTATACGTCTTGGTTTGTGTGTGGTTTGCCACTTGATCTGGTGATACTAGACAAATGCAGTGTCCCCAAAAGTGTTTAAATTGAGCTGATCATTTGAAATTCTTGGGAATTATACTTTTTGTGATTAGCTAACATCTTTAGCATCTAAGTTTTGCACACATATTTACAGCTATTAATTTAGCTGATGCTTGCTTTATATGTCAGAGGTTGCACGTCTCTGGGACACCTTGGTAGATGGGTCGCAGTGGGAATTGAACCCGGGTCTCTCACACCAAAGGCAAGTGTCTTATCCACTGCGAGATCAAAACAAATACAGCTGAGTGTAAAAGGTCATTATTGACCTTTAAACCAGCTGCAATGTTAAGTCAAGGTCCGTTAACTAGCTTTTTCCGGAGCTTTCAACCGCATCTCCCAGTCTTACTAAGCGTATGGAGGAGCATACGACCATGTGAACAGGTATCACCGTGTGATGAGTCATCACCATGACAACTGAGCAAGCTCCCCTGTTGATGGAGACTGTGAGATGTGGCTGAAAACGCCCTAAAAAAATAGTCGATGAACGAAATGTTAATACAGTTTCACAATCCTATCTCCAAATCTGACCAGCACTCGCTGTATTAGAGACAGCATGAAGTGCATGCAGCAGTTTCAGTTAACAGTCAACAGCAGCAGGGGTCAGTGCTACAGCAGCAATGGCAGGTAGGCGTTCACTGTTGCTGATTGAGAATTTTGTTTGTTTGGTGTATGGTGTGTGTTACAGAAGATGTTTCTGTGTGAGATGTGTTAGTATCTGGTTGCGCGGGGATCCTAGAATTAAAACACCAAATGCCAAAGTCGATATATTGCAGACTGTTTTTAAGTGTTTGGTTAGTGGATGACAGAAGTGTGTGAGAAAAGAGCAGTGCATGACAGACATTTGTGAAGAAAGGTTTCAGTTCACTTCAGACCAATCAATTCAAAGAAGAAACATACACTTTGTCTTATAGTCCAGATTTTTTCATTTTTTATATCTTTAAGAACAAACAACCTCGTGAACTGACTGAATGAGAAGCAAACTGAAACCAGGTGACATGTGAGTGGATTTAGGGAGTAGGGGGGGCATTCTGACCCCTGAGTGGCGTTCTTTTTGCCCTGGCTGTTAGATAAGGGCAGGGAGGGGAAGGAAAAGGTCTTGGCTCGGCTGCTCGGGCCTACAATCATGTCCAGCCTGTGAGGGAAGCAAAGCAAACACACACACACACACACACACACACAGAGGCAGACATACATACACATACATACACACAAAATCACACAATGCAAAGAACAAACACACATACAAAGACATCCGCGGAGCACACAAATATACCCATGTATGTATAAGGTATGAGAGCAGGTACACACACACAAACACACACATGCATACGCACCAAGATACAGATGAATCAGTTACAGTGTGGTCAAACATCTCTAGCCAGACAGCGAAGACTAGAGGAATGAAAACTGTCAGCTGTTGTCATGCAGTCTGTTGCCAGCCCTACCTGGTCTGCAGGCTCTTGATGCGACACAGCATGTCCAAGTGACCGGCAGAGTACTGTTCGATCACGTCCTTGACATCATAAGGACGCAGTGTCTCCTTAAACTTCTTCTTGGCTACATGGAACTTCATTATCCTGCACAAAGAGCAGATAAATTCATAAATCTGCCACAAGGGGGAGCTCTTATACAGTCAGGACACATGACCTACCGACTCCCTGAAGCTGAGACTGCAGCAGTGTGGCTGATGAAAACACCTGAAACTGTGTCTTTATTTTTCGTTTTTTACAAAGTGCATGAAATCTGTAACCCCATCCCATTCCAACAACCTGTTTCTTCACACCAATGCAAGCAGTCGGAACACCTGAACAATCACTTCGTTGGACAAATAAAAAACATCCATCTGCTTATTTTAGCTGTGTGTGTGTGTGTAAAAAAATCACTCCCTGTGGAGCCTCAAGGCTAAATTCAAGTGAATTTGGGAGTTTCTGGGTCCTTGAGTGGTGAGGACAGACGGCAAGAAAACTGAGCATTAGTAAAGTGGACATGAAGCAGTTAGTAAATGTTTGTTTTGAGAAATCTTTTTCTATGGGCAGTCAAGCTATGGGCATGTTTCAGTCACAAACTCTGAACCTATATAGTCCATACCTACATTGTTTCTTCATGACTTGAGGTTACTTGTGTTGTTTTCCCAGTAAATCCAACTTAAGAGTAGATGTCACAGCAAAGGTTTAAAGGTTTAGTCAACACAAATAACCCCAAAACACATTTATTCGTACTGCACATGAACAAATTAACCAAAAAATGCAACATGTCTTTGCAGAGGCAGGCATCACTGTGATTAGTTTTATTGCTTTTTAATGAAGAAATAGACCCTGCCTGGCTTCATCGCACTAGAGGTAAGTGCAGGGTTGGGCTGTTACTAAGTACACTTACTCAAGAACTGTAGTACAATTTCTAAGGGAATAATTGTACTTTTTACTCATACATTTATCCAACTAGTGATTTAGCAGAAATATATGAGCTTTTAAAATATGAAGCACTACTACAGATTTAACTGTCCAACAGTAGTAGTTAGAATCAAATATACCAAATAATAAAGCAATAGAAAGCATCCTGAGTGGAAACATCACAAACTGGCATGGGATGTGCACGGCTCAGGACCGGAGGGCTCTGCAGCGGGTGATTAAAACTGCTCAGAAGATCACTGGTACCCATCTCCTGAGCATCAGTGAGGTGAGGCGCCTGCGCAGAGCCCAAAGGATACTAAAGGACAGTACGCACCCATCCTGTTCACCCTGCTGCCTTCTGGGAAGAGATACAGAAGTTTCCGCTGCCGCACCACCAGACTGCAGAGCAGCTTTTTCCCTCAAGCTGTCAGACTTTCTTATTCATCCCCAGCACTGCTCCACTGAATATAGTTTCTTTCTGTTTACCATTTTTATAATTGCTTCTATATTAATATATATTGTCTGCTACGTAGAAGAAGGGAGTTTCAAACTCAATTTCACTCTACAACATGTTGTACTGTGACAAATAAATCAAACTTGTAACTTGTGTATTCTATAGTTTAAAGCCTCAGAAAACTTGGCTTCAAACCTTAAGTATTTCTCAAAATATTCAGAAAAATAAAAAAGTATTATCTACATATTATCTATTCTAATTATATAATTCTCAAAAACCCAGCAAATCTGCTTCATCAGGGCTGTGTGGATGGGGATTGACTGAGTAACCAAACAGCCCACCAGACAACTTCAATCACAGTATGAATTCAGGTGATCTCAGGAGTCATGTTTACTTACTATTGACTCAAGGACTCCAAAAAGATCACTGTAACTGTTTTTGCAAGCGCCCACTATTATCTCATGGGAATATTACAGCATTAGTTGAACAGAAAAATGCCAGAATGTAACTTCAATTGTTCAGTTCTGCTATAGAGAAATGCATTTTTGTTGTAAAACAGTGGGTTGAGCCATTTGAATTCATCTTTGATTAAAGTATAATAACTTAAAGGGCTAATATGCAGTTTTCAGTAATGTGAGCACAGCTAAATATATTGGATATTAGTGAGCTAGACTGAATATTATTATGAGATATAATGAGATGAAAAGTTAGACTGCAGAAGGTAACATTACTGTCCTGAATGGTTCTTCCACTGTGTTGTTGTTCTGCGCTGTTATGTTGTTGAAAAAAACAATGGTGATGGTGGAGAAGCTGTGTAGCTGAGTATCAGTAAAACGTCAATAAATCTAAGTTGAGCCTTACAAAGCAAACAGCGGTAGATACATGCCAACATTATGTTGAAAGCCACAGAGAAAACCTGGGTGGGGTTCATTTTTAAGAGAGGTTACAGCCAAGTGACAAGAAAGTGATTTATTAACAAGTGATTTTATGGAAAAACTACACATAGTCCCTTTAAATCCAATATTTTGTTTAAATTTGATCTGGGTTTACATTTTTTAAAACAAATTTAAACATATTTAAGATATTACTACATCTATGTTTCTTTAAGGATACATCATGGCTAAGAAACACGCCGTATCCTTGTGACATGATCACTTTACATAGCTTTGCAGTGTTAATGCTCCCACTAACCATATTTCCTGTCTCTCAACTCTGTATCCAATCACATGAACTAAAGATGGTCTAAAAATAACCTTAAAAAAAAAAATCTCCCGGTCACTTTAATCCCCTGAGCATGTTCAATCATGAGAGCTGCTAGAAGGCAGCGGGTTGCAATCAGGGTTTGTTTGCACGCAACCTCTGCAATAGAAAAATTCAGCATTAATTTGACTGAAAGAGAGAGTCTGATTTCCTTTGCCTCACCTGACAGCTCTAATGACAGACTTGACTGAGGGCAGCAAGTCTTCCATCGAAATCTCGCAGTGACAGCCCTTCTCATCAAAGCCATCCTCCCCTGCAATGTTGGAGTCTGCTGCTTGGGAGAGAGGATACAGAAAGGAAAGATTATTTGAACTTTTACATGTGTCGCATTAGTCTTAATAATCTGAAACCTCAGTTTATATGCAATCAGTGATCAGATTCACCTGCAAAAAGCATCTGATTTTATTATCAGTCTTACCTGCATGGTTGTAAAACAGAGAACAGGGACATTTTTATTCTAAGCTGACTTAGTGTTGGCTTATAAAACTGATAAAGTATAGCAAACGTGCTCGCAAACAGTTGCTGGAACAACAGTTAACATTCACTGGGAGTCGTGTTTAGTAACGCTCCTTTTAGCTTTTGCTTGGTAAATGCTGCACTACGTGTACCAGCTACTTGCTAACTTCATCTGTCTGCTGTTTGGTGCTGGACAGTTAGCGCACAGCAGGTCTATCAGAGATCTGCTGCTGGAAATCAGATTGATGAGAGCAGAGTTTGTGGACCGGAAAATAGAAAACAATTAGCTCAAAGACACTAAAATGCTCAATTAAGCTGCAGAGTTGGAAGTTAATTCTTGATGGTTTCATCATTATAAGCGAACCCTTTCACATCATGCAGAGGTATATGATTCACTGTTAATACAAAAATATGTATGCAGGTTTAAGAAACCTGAGATTAAGGTATCCTAAAGTAGCATGTTGTTGCATTAACTGGGTTATTCTTAATTTTTTTAAGTAAACCAAGTTGCGGGATCTTCATTAATCATTAGTGAACTGTATTGAGAGTGAAAGACTGCTTTTTTGACTGCTGTCTGGAACAGCAGACTAGTAAAGAACAGGTCTCTGGTGTGTGCCTGCAGTTATATTGCTAACTTTGTGACAGTGGAGCTCTGTTTACGGGCCTCCTGAGTTTACAGCACCCTGAGGAAGTAAGCAGAGGGCTACACTACAAGCCGTGTAACCTGATGGAAGTGTGAACAGTGCTGATAAATGATTTGCTCCATTCAAATAACTTCTTATTTCCCCTCAAATTAAGTCATAATGAAAGGGAAATGTTTCCCTCAGCTAGCTAACATGTCAGTAACAGAGAATGACCAGACGGAGCATGGCTAATCAGTTTGGTTTTGGCTAGCATAATTATTAATTCCTCTCCACCAGCAGGTCTCAGCCAGCTGGCTGGCTCTGACACCCCATATGGCTCCTGGAGCTCACCACCCCCACCTTCCATCAATCCATCAGTCACCCACAAACACCAAATGGCTGTTACCCAGGAGGTCTTGCCAGGCCGCCACAGCTAGGCCAAAAGGAAGGAAGTGCAAACGAAAAATAGCATTCCGTTACTCCCAATGCACCTCAATAATAGACAGTAAGTGTTCAGTTGTTTCACGCTTGGACTTTAAGGATAGTTCAGCTTTATTATTTGCTTTATGTATTCAGGAAGTTACTGCGCCTGGCCTATAGTCCAGCACACACAGTGATTTTTGTGTTTTGTTACTATTCAGCTACATCCACAAGCAATTTTTCAGCTCATTCAGAGAGAATGACAATGAATTCTACCTTGAATTTGTAGGAATCACAACTCAACCTAGTACTGCAACCTTGTACTGCTTATTAATCCAAAGTCAAACCTTGTCTGGAAGTGGAATAATGGGACAGAGTCACCCACCATCAGTGGTGGAGCGCGACTGGCTCTTAAGGCGGAGTGAAGGTCTGAAGCGTGTGCGGTCGTTGAAGCTCCAGCTCTTCTGTACCTTGGCAGGGCTGGTGCCCTCTGTCCCAGCCTCAGCCACCGGAGACCGCCGGTCGTTCACTGAAGACGTCTGCCTGTTCTTGATGCTCTGACCTCGGGGGCTCGCCAACCTCACCCGCTCCTTGAAACTCAACTTCTGACTGTAGAGTGAAATGGGGATCAATGGTGGTACAGAGGGGAGTTGGAGTGAGGAGAAGAATAAGGAGGGAATGATGTTGTGAAGAGGCAGAATGACAGATAGATAAAGATATGTTAATGGTGTAAGTTTTAGGGCAACAACATCCATTCTCCAAGACTTTTGGCAAACTTCTGTTCGTTGACACGATCTTATCATATGGCAGTCATAATTAAGAACGAATTCACTAATATAAGGGTTGCAGGACAAGATGGAGAAAGAGTAGCATGCATCGCAGCGTTGCAGCAGGTGCTTTACACAAAATGCAAGCTCAGGTTAGGTATGATGCTTCAATTGCGTATTTGTAGTTTGTGCCTTGATGTGTGCATGTTTTCTTGTTTTTATCCCATATGTGAGTTTCAGTATTTCATTCATGTGACAAACTAGTTAGCATGTTGCTTAAAAGGACATCCATTATCACATTGTTGTATTTAATGGTTAAATATTATGCTTTCATTTGTGCTGATATTGTGATATATGTGAAGTACCACACCCTACAACAAATCACCATTTAAAGCTACAGGATTTATTGCACTTAAGTTCCATGTAAAGTGTCATTAAAGGGTTACGGAAGATAATGTATGAAAATGACTTGAGAAAAGTGAAGCAACAGAACAATGAGATGTACATGTAGAGAAAATAAGGGAGTGGCGAATTCTGTTTATGCAGTTGTACAGTATATAATGGTTCCATGCAAAGGCAGTGCACAGCGTCAGGCATGGCTCATTTACAGTTTTTCTCGATTGCTTAAACACATTTCTTGAAATTATGCCTCTTTTTCTCGAAACTAAAAACAAATCCACAACTTCTCACCCAATTCCCCAAACGTCCTATTTTCAGGTCTAAATGAAGCTCTCCACTCAAACCCAATAAATGTTCCTTTGCCCTCAGATACAACACACACACACTACAACACAGTCTTCCACACTGGTGAGATAAATTCAAAAAAAATATTACTAATAATGGTTATAAGTGGTTCTCCCCCTCAAAAACCTTTTCACATGATGAACACAACAAAAGAAACAAAAAATGTAAACATATTTAGACATTCTCATCCTCTACCTTCTTCTCCTCCTCCTTCCTCCTCCTCTTCCCTACTCCTGCTCTGCCTCCTCCTTCTCCTCCTCTTACTCCTACTGTTCCTCTTCCGTCACCTCTTCCTTCTCTCCATACTGCTCTTCCTCCTCCCCCTTATCTTCTTCCTCCTCCTCTCTGGTGTCTTCTACCTCTTCCTTCACATCTCTCTGGATCCATTGTTTCAAAACTGAATGAACTGACTCTGGCCCATTATGACTCTTTGTGTTTCCACCTTTGTAGCTGTGTGCTAATTAAGCTCAAGCTTTGCTGACTTGAGTGAACAATATTGAATGTCAGTGCTTTCTCAGTGACCACACGGTGTAGGCAATGAGAAATGAAAGGATTTGTGTTTAGAGTTTAGAGAAATGGATGTGCTTTTTTGGAGTTATGGGTTTTGAAATTTTAGTTCAAAAGCCTGCTTGTAGTGTTTCAACAATTGAGAAAAACTGTAAAAGTGGTACTGTATATTGGATTTAACATATGCAGTTGTATTTAAAAAGACAAGGCACACATTTTTCTCATTGTCTGCAAATCTAATGAAAAGACCAAATCCACACCAAATGTGTTGTGTGTCATTCTATACTTTCTGAAATTTCTGTGTAGACATTATATATATATATATATATATATATATATATATATATATATATATATATATATATATATATATATATATATAGCCCCCAGTGCTCAGATTACCACTGGCACCAGTGTTGCTCTTACTTTCCACATCTTTTCTAGCTCCTCTTTCAGCCCTTGGTATTTCTCAAGCTTCTCGTGTTCCTTCTTCTTGATGTTGCTGTCTCTTGGGATCACTTCATCCATCACTGCAGCCTTCTTCTGCTGTTTGTCGATCAACACGATGTCTGGTTGGTTAGCCATCACCAGTTTGTCAGTCTGGATCTTGAAGTCCCACAGGATCTTAGCTCGGTCATTCTCAACTACTTTAGGAGGTGTCTTCCATTTTGACCTTGGGACTTCCAGCCCATATTCAGATGTTCCTGTACTCTATGACAGCTACCTGGTTATGGCGTTCCACATACGCACTTCCTGCCTGCATCTTACACCCTGCTGTTATGTGCTGTACTGTCTCAGGGGCATCCTTGCACAGTCTGCACCTGGGGTGGTCCTGCCTGGTGTGGTAGATCCCAGCCTCTATTGATCTTGTACTGAGAGCCTGTTCTTGTGCTTCTGTGCTGTCTTTTAGTCCAGCCTTTTCCAGCCACTGGTAGGATTTCTTGATATCAGCCACTTCTTCTATTTGTCTGTGGTACATGCCGTGCAGCGGCTGGTCTCCTCTCCATGAAGGTTCTTCATCTTCCTCGTCCTCACCCTCGGGTTTCTGCTGCCTGAGGTTTTCACTAAGCCCTTCATCTTTGGGGACCATCTTCCTGATGTACTCCTGGATCTTTGTTGTTTCATCCTGGACAGTGGTCTTGACACTATAATTGTATATATACTTGTTAGGGTTAATCCATTGCTGGGTTTGGTCTTTTCATTGGATTTGTTGACAAGAAAAAAATATCACCATACTTATGTAGTTATTGCTGAAATAGAGGCACATGATGACTGACACAGAAACATGTCATCACTAGTGCAAGGAATAATACCATAGAGTTTATATCAGGGAGTGGAGCGTGAAATGTAGGGTAGTTTAGATGCAACACCAGAAGCTGTGTGAAGAAAAAGATAATAGTGATGATGATAATTTTCATCTCTCTACAGTCAGGAAAAAGCTGACAAATGTTAATTATTTCACATGATCTGCTTCTGAGAATGAATCCTGGTATAAATATTCTGATAGCAAATGTAGTTAAACCCAAAAACACAACAGGCAGAGGTAGCGCATTGCTCAGGCAAAGATCAAACAAAGGCGGAGAGTATTACTCTAAAGGCGACTGATGTCTCCCTGCAATATTTAATTACTCTGTGCTCTCTGTGGCAGCACAGCCTCCTACAGATACCCATGCACCAAGAATTAGTCAGCATTCCCAAATAAAAACGTCATGTAACGGAGGAGCAGAAACGCTGTGTACCTATGTTTCCGAGTGGAACGCCTCCTCAGTAGCTTCTGTTTATTACTATGAATTTTACTAAAAAACCAAGGGGAGATAGACATACGGTGATGTGTTACTTGATGCAGAAACAGAGGAGAGAAAATATTCACCTCTGAATGTTTTGTGAGGTGAAACAGCGCTTCTTAAGCCTTATTTCTCTTTTGCCTTTTTACTTTGACCCTTGTGGCTCTTACTACTTATTTCTTGTTTTATGTTGCATTCAGTCAACCTGAGAAACTGGTTAAATACCTGACATGTAAATGTGATGACTGTATGTCAGACTGTATGTATGAAGGTGTGGCAAGCCGTTTCAACATTTATTCTTTGTAGCTTACTAGTCACTATTTGAAAGCTACTAGTACTTATTTATTAGTTACTAGTAACAATTCCAAAAGATACTATTAACATTTTAATTCTTACTAGTAAGAATGAAATAGTTAATAGGTAACTAATAAATAAGTACTAGTATCTAAATCCTCATTAATATTTAATCTGCAATATCTAATTTGCATTGTTGTAGATATCAAGTTGTGAGCTGGAGATGTCTTGTGTCTGATTAGTTACTAGTAACTAAAAAATAAGTACTAGTAGCTTTTAAATAGTGACTAGTCAGTTTATGGAATATAGTCAGCTATGAAATATAAAGAAAGCTGATTTTCGGTTGAGGCTTCAATTTGTCGAACACTGACATTTAGAAGCAGCAGAACGGAGCCAATTGAGCTTATTACAGTAAAATGAACATCTACAGCACGATTCGAAAAAGGCTGCAATTTGGTGACTCACATACTACATGTCGATATCCCTCATTTAACTGTGTGAATTCAGCTGGGCCATGGCAACAAGTGTCTGAGTCACCAGTGAGAGGGCCAGTAACCTTTAGACAAATGCTTGTGGGGTCACCGAGGGTATTACAGTAAGTTTTTGTCATATAGCTGTGTTTCATCACCCCACTTCTGTGATATATTAATTTGAAGATTAATAAATAAATCTAGCTAATAAATAATGTAAGGCGGCTCCAGTTGGACTGTACCATGTGGCTTTTAATCTCGTCTCCAGCTCTGCAGTGGAGATGTAAATCAGGGAGTCATGGGCTTGCAAAACAACAGGGGTAGGCTGGAGCTCTCCTCCCTTGTTCTAACGACATGCTTAAGGTTGAGTGGGATGAATGTTCAACTCTCTAAAATTTCAATCTTCTTAATTTGGTTATTTATTTGATAGACTCTTTGGCTTTCTCTGCAATGTGGTTTAGTTTATATCACACCAGACTCAAGGGAAAACGACTACCTTCAGGATGACATGGTGGTATGCAGACAAACATTTACTCAGTGTTTCATATCTGCAAACACAACATATTAAATCCCTCAACCCTCACTGCCCTGCATGCTGTCCTCCCCTATTAATTCTAAAAACGCATTAGCTAAATGACTAACAAAATTTGGTAATATGAACACAGACCCACATATATATATATTATACTTTTATTTTCTATACATATATATATAATATGAGTATAATAGATACAGTACCTGAGGTAAGAATATAGTTAAAAAATAGAGAAAAATATGTGTGGGTATGTGTATGATTGCTTGTATTTGAGTGCCTCAGCATGTATGTGTGTTTTTATAGAGGAGAACAAGTGATAAAAAAGAAAGATAGATGATACCACCCAACGGAAAGATAAAACAATGAGTCATACAGAGTGCAAGTGTAAAAGTCGCTATTAGCGGGTCTACATTTCATCTCCCACAGCCTTAAACACCTCTCTCACTGACAGTGCAGTTCACACAGAAGTGGAGCAACAGGTGTATACTACTTTAGGTGTATACTACTTGGTATTGTCCTACATATATTGCTGGATATCAGTACAAAAATGTTGATACTAGTGGCGATACGATACCTTAGTTTTGGTACAGATGGAAAAATTATGTCACTTTAATACTTTGCTACCTTACTACACTACGCTAAGGTGAAATGGCGACTGCGATGGTATTTGGCACAAAGGTACCCATTAGCGTCCGTATGACACACCCACTAACTCCAGTGTTACCCATCCGCATCAGGTGACGTAATACACAGAACCAAAAGTCAAAGGCTACTTATTATTATATATTAATATTTCATAGACAATACAAAAAAAGTATTTATGTTCGACACCCAGCCCTATTCTTGAATGATGGAACTACAACATGGATGAACGACATTGAATTTTCAGTGAAACAGCAGTCACAAACCTTGTGGTCGACTCTCCCTGCTCCTTCCTGGAGTTGGCACAGGAGAAGAAGAAAAAAGTATATATTAGAAAGCATGTTTTTACTCTTGTTAACACTGTACTTAAAGTACCATACCAGTGCTTTTGCATGTTTGAGCCCATTTACTACAAATCACACTTTACATTACAGATAACCATGTAGCAAACTATACTGCTGTATTTCAGAATTTTTTATGCATTTTTCCCACTTGCTAAAAATCAATAATGAGGTTTATGAATGTAGGAATTTGTTAAAAAACTGTAAAGCCAAAATAGTGGGCAAAAATGTTACGTAAATGATGTGTGATTTTTGAGCGAAAACCTGCAAGCACACCATTATGATCCTCTAAATCAGCATGATAGGAAGATTTTATGCATTAAGGACTTTGTCAGCAACTGTTATACAATATTTGAGCATAGCAACACATCAATCAATAATGAGCAGTCCAGGGGAAATAGACCTTAACAATTAGCAGGCTCACTACAAACATGCAGGTTAATGCAGACTATGCAGCCAAAAAAAGGAAGCACTTGCAACCAAAGAAGATATAATGACTGAGTGACTGAAGATATGTTCACTTAATGAGATGAAGCAGTGTCTTGGATCGGCGTGTGTTTTGTACATTATGTTCATTATGACTGTAACTGTTCAATAAATGGGTGTGGGGTTGGGGTGTAGAAAAAAACAGAATTAAGCGCTTAATTTGGAGATCAACATGAAAAGTTGTTTTTCTGTTTTCTTTAAGTGTACTAATGACAAAAGTAAGAAATAGAAAATGTTCAATATCCCAAGGAACCTTCTAAGTTAGCTGTCAGTGCAGAGTTAGCTAGCGATCTGTTAGGGTGGTTAGCTTTACACAGAAACTAGTGTCCTCAACACATCAGGCATACATCTAGTGTCTGGTGTATACTGAAGAAAAACAGCAGGACCTTCATACATACTGACATTACTAATATAATATCCAGAATAATGGAGGTTCTGTGCTCTCAACTTGTACTGCAGGATAACAGCAGGAATTTCATACAAGCTAACGTTACTCTTTTATGCTAACGTTACTTGTGTATGGCGGCCATTTGAGTTTGTAACCTCTGCTCCTGTTAACGGTGTGGGACACGCAAATAATTACTCACTGCAAGAGCTAACTTTGTGTAGTGTGGGTTATTAATGCTACTAGTTGCTGTTTCTCACTGGAATTCAATGTGTTTATGCTAGATAGAGCTGAGAGATCGGTGAGGAGCGGTGTGCAATTAGTATTGAAAATACAAGGAGTGCCACATTCAAATAACAGACATTTTACTGGCTTCTAGAAAGTTGCTGTATTGCTAAATAGTGAAAATATCAATGAGCTATCATGACATCATGGCAATGAGGCTTCTGCCCCCCATGCTGTGTGCAATTACTCAATTGTTTGGTGGGAAGTGGGAAACCCATCCATAGCGATCCATTTACATATGCCAGCTACCAAAGCTACAAACAGACTAAAGTCTGCACTGCACATCTAAATTACTTAGGGCATCGGTGCTCAGTGGCCGCCCAATTTAAGGAAACTGTGCAGCAAATTCAAAAAAGCTTGATTGGCTCATTGAGGCCACAATTGGTGTCATAAATATATACGCCATGGAGGGTGAATGCAAAAATTGCTGCCTCAGTCTCTCAAAGCGACAGCAGTGAGCTCTGGCCCATTGAGCACTCAACTGACTTTAGTGAGAGAGCCTAACTCAGAGTGAATGCTATGGAGGGCTAAAATGTCCATTTACATAACAGCAGAAAAAATTAAGGCTAGTTTAGAGATGTCTTGGAAATCATCAGTTTATTGTTAATTCAAGCAAGTTGAGATTAACAGAGACTGGAAATGATCAGTCTTTTTGATAGCTGTGAAACAATTTATTTATAAAAAAGGTAATTATAAAATCAGTGCATTTGTATTTTCAATAAAGAGAGCAGGGCAAATACATTTAACAATAAGACAGCACAAAAAAACGTGAAAAGGCTGAATAATTTAAAAAAGATAAAATGAATGTACATAATTGAATGTATGGAAAAGATGGCTCGAGTGGCACAGACACCAAATACAGACACCAGCTGCCATAGTTGTACCTACTTTGTAGGGCTGCAGGTATGCAACGCCTTCAAGTGAGGCTTCCAGGTAGCAATGGAAACCGAGTTCTCATCAGCCGCATAACTACGCCAAACACACTGCATGCAGAATACACAAAACCAGGAAGAAGGAAAAAAGTACAAAGAAGACACCCCCAAAGAAAAGATAAATGGAAAGGAATAAAAAATATGAACAATAACAAAAACAACGCAGAGGGAGTCAGAAGGAAGAGGAAGAAGGAGGGTAGAAAAAAAACACATTTTAAAAGCTGATTAGTGAAACCAAAAAACAGGTGTGTCACAAGTCTGTGGTTGGGCAGAGGTCAGGCATGGATACATGCCTGTGGGAAGGCAGGAGGCTCTCATAGTGCCGCCATGTGGCGTCCAGGTAGGGTCTGGTGCTGTCGGTGGAGTAATAACGCCACGCAGCCTGGTACAACATGGGGATGAACAGGATGAAGAGGAGGAGGAGACAGGAAGAGGTGGAGGCCAGGAAAGAGGAGGATGGGAACATAAAATGGGAGAAGATGGAAGGGAGAAGCCAAAAAGGAAGAAAAGGATGCATATGGAGAAATATATAAGGAGGACAACACGAGGTCAGCACCACTGAAATTCAGGATGAAACAAACGGCGTGTGTGAAGATCGGGCTGGAAAAGATGGAAATGTGTAAAGTAGACAGAGGAGTGGCAAGAATGGGTTTGCCAAACTGGTGTTTTATCACAGGAGAGTCTGAAAGGGGTGGGGAAAAAACCTCCCAGAGATTAGAGAGCTTACTGCAAAGTGAGGATGAGGGGGCCCTGGGCTTGACAGAGTGAAGCTACATGCTATGTGCTTTTTATTGGGTAGTTTCAGGGTTTCATAGAGTCCAAAAAGGGAAAAGAGAAACTGGAGAGTGATACAGTCTTTTAAACACATTGTCTATTATGTAGGCACTCAGTTTAATTAGATGCTGTTGTGTATTGTTTTGAAAAACACCAACAATTCACAACAATAATAATTATGTTTTTTACGTACAAAAACAATAATGTGTGTCAGAGAAACTGAAAGAGAGTAGGCTGTCTGCTTTACCTGGATGAGGTAGGCGGCTGGGTTTCTCCTTTTCTCAAAGTGCTTCTGTCTGTGCTGCTCCTGGACCTTCAGGGCAAAGCCTGACCCCAGAATACCCTGGTATGATATTAATAGGAATAAATATTTGATGCGTATGTATCTCAAAGACACTCAAGTATTTTTGAGCTGCTGAGAAAGGCAATACAACACTAACAAGAACATCCATGGTGGCTGCATGAAAAATGACCGTTGACCTTTGTGGACACAGCCAATTGCTGTTGACCGCTGTTTGAACTAAAAGGAGTCGTGTGGTTGGAAACAGATTGACTCTGTCCACAGATCAAATCTGAAGCTGAAAATAATTATATATTGTATATAAAGTGCTGGTAGGCATGTTTAGAATCTGTGGAATCTAGCTGCGTTATTAAAGTAAATATTCCCTAAACCTCACACACCTGCTACCAAATACTAAAGATATAAATAAATAACCAGGCTGCAGCTCACTCACAAGCTGATATGTCAGAATAGCGCTGACAAATCTGCCTGATCTGACACTTCAAAAAGAAACGATTTACTCGAAGAATACAGACTTACCGCTGGCAAGGCAAAGAACGAGATGCCCAGTAGGGCAAACCCTGCCGACAGCATCCGCCCTGTCCATGTCTTTGGTGTCTTGTCCCCATAGCCGATGGTTGTCAGGGTAATCTGTTAAAACAAGATGATAAACTTATCATCCAGTCCTGAATGATGCTCATACTGAGGCTCTGGCAATTTATGCAGATGAGAGAAATTTTAGAGTGAAAAAACAAAAACAAATCAAATGACACCACTCTCTGTTTAAGCTTTACTTCCAGCCACGTTGTATAAAAGTCCATAATTATCAGCTTAGAAAGCAAGTGAAACAGTTAACAGGAGGTTGTTTCTTGAAGGACCTTTTGGTACCATTTTTTATTTATTTAGCCACGCTTTAAAGGTTTATTATGCTGTAACCAAGTTGTGGTTAAAGTCCTTTATATATCAGTCATAAGCAACTAATAAGAACAATGTTTAGGTTTCCAAATTCCTTTTGCTGAGCAGGACACTTGATTTGTGATTTTATTTTTACCTTGCTTGAATTTAATTTAATAAAAACACATTAATATTTACTTATGACATTTGTTTGAATGATTTTTTTTTCTAAAGTACATATTATTGCACATGTTACTGAATTGTTGAGGTGGTGTCGAATGTGTTTTGGTGTGTCCAACTGTGTGTTTTTTTCTTGTGCATACTGTGAATTCAAATGATGCCTTCAGGCAGTGCAATCACATCTAAATGATTAGACCTGGATACTTTATAGGAGCGAGTCTGTATGGCCTTGGTTCTAAGTAAACTGGTGAAAGCCTGTTGTTGAAATGCTTATTGTACCTTAGTAAAAAGGACTATCTATCTATCTATCTATTTAGGCAGACCGGGTTATCGTTTATTCAGGCTCTGATTGCCTTGCATGCCAAAGGCAGCTGCATCATTTGGTACCATTATGATTTTTAGAGCTGGTATGAAGATGGTGGTTAATGGAGCCGTGCACAGCTAATGTTTATGGAGGAGCTGTCAGTGCTCAGAGGCAATGACAAACCGAACAGGAGCAGTAGACGCTGATTTTCAGCATCCAATGCAGGGCACACATTTGTGAAAAAATTACAATAACAATGAAGACATTTAATGTAAAAAACAAAACAAATACACTCACCGTGCCCCACCACAAGGCATCTGCGTAGGTAGCAAAGTCCTTGTTGAACTTGTTTTCCACGAGGTAGACGAGGAATGAAGAGAAGATGAGAACCAAGAAGCCAATGTACCAGGCGGTTACCAGCTCCTGCAGGCAGAGGTCATCGTGGAAAAAAGAAAATCTTGTTAATCCACAACCTCTTTGGCATATGAACATCCACTTTTGCTCAACCTAAATCGGCTTTTCTATTGACTTTGAGGACAAAACTTTCTATGTAAATGAATAAGCAGGTGATACAAGTGAAAGTTATGATCAATTATTGAAAGTGCTTTAAATCCACTTCAATCATTGCAAATGAATTTCTAACACACAGGTCCTTTTGCTTTTACAGTAGGGTGAGAGCTTTTCATAGAAACTTAAATACATAAGGTACATGATAAGGTTGTCAAGCTAGCACTTCCCAGCAATTTTCATGTAATTAATGTCACCTCCTAAGATGATGCTGTCAGCAGTGAATCACTCTTACAGTTTTTCTCAGTCGCTTTGGTACATTTCCCAGATCAGAATTGAAATTCTTAAAACTAATTGTTCAACCTCCACATCATCTCGTCACTTGTGCACATCATAAAAGCACTTTCTCATTGTTTTGAACAAATTGCAAATGACTCGACACACTGATGCAAATGATTATGTACAATTGTCTGCTGTTTCCTACATTATCAATTGCTTATGTCCTGCTGATCACAATGAATTATACCAGTCTCTGCTGAATAATCTTAACCCCCAAAACATCTAGGCACAAGTTCACTGCATTAGTCACTACATGCAAAATAGTTGAACATGTTATCAAAAATAAAAGTTAAAATACTTTATTCATATAGTATAAACGGCACAACACAGTGGATTATAGATGGACTATACGTGTATAAAATGTCTATCTATATATTCATTCATGTATATACATCTAAGCCCTAATCAAATATTTTTTTACTCCGTTTTCCTGTGATAACGGGATAATTTTCTCGTGATTTCGAGATAACCATAATGGTAATTATAGCTTGGGTTGATTGATGATTAGGGCTTCCGTATATATATATACGTATATGAATATATATATATAGATAGACATTCTATACATGTCTATTAGAATTTTTTTGTAAATGTGTCCTGAATTGATGAAGATATCTGTTGTGATGTTGAAGAGAATCTGTGATACAACAAAGGGGTGTATCCCATGCAACAGTCCTGTCTCTTTCTTTTCTTCTTACAATGACATGCTCTGTCAACAAATTACAGTACAAACAGTAAAAGCATAGCTGTGATTCCTGTCCTCTCTCCTGCAATGTATAACTTTGTACTGGTGAAAGTGATATATGCCAGACAAAAAAAGTGCAGCCTTGTGCATTTTCAATCATTGTCATCGAAATCTTAACCAAAATGTACATCAGAAAATACTTACAGAGTACACAGTTATATTGACAAGATTGCTAAACATTTTGACTTGCTTGTTCATAAACAAGACACGAGGACTTGTCGTTCTGATGGCGCTGACAAGTTCAATGAAATAAAGATTTGCTTTTGAGAGATAGACTAAGGATTTTGAGCAAGTTATGGGCTTTTGCAGGTAATCCACTGTGTTGTGCCGTTTGTACTACCTGTTTTGAGAAATGCGCTTACTGTTTTGCAAATGTTAAGGATGATTCGAGAAACGCACCAAAGCGAAAGAGAAAAACCGTGAATGGAGATCATAATGTAAGTTGAAGCAAAAACATGTCAAGTCATTAGTGCCAATTATCAGGCATTGGGTTGGGTTCAGGTTCAGGACTGTGTGAAGCTTGGGGCTCAGGCCAGCAGAATTATTTTCAAAAATCTCTGTCTCATCCTGACTGGCCCAGCGGGCTGCATCTATGCGTGTCATGTATTGCAGGTAGATAGATACACAATCCCCAGCGGGAAGACTGAAAGATACACCCAGTACCTAATGTGTTGCATTAGCCCGGTCAATGGTCAATAATGGATGGGGAAAAAAGCAATTACACAGACTCCCTTTGTTTTTATTACGTTTATTTGTCAGGGTACAAAAACAATTATCTCATACAAACAGAAAAGATGGTTTGTATTTAGCGACTAGCAACTGTCCAATCTGCAGTGCCTGGGCAGGTAAACATGTCAGGTTCAGGTCTTAAACTTAACAGTACCAGTAGGGTTCAGCTAGGTTTAGGTCTCAGTTTCATGCCCATATGCCAAACTCCACCCTGACCACCAAACTACACAGCACTTTACATAGCGTTTACTATAAATGTCCAGCTTTATTGCTTTTCTTTTGGTATTGCTGTTGATGTACTGTTGACCACTGGCTTCCGCTGCAGTGCAAGCTGAAAAGGCGCCGACCACCACCTTAGCCTCCACCTTTATGTCAATCAATTTTATCTACTGCTGCTCACCAGAGTGGATACTGTTGCCGATACACTGAAAAACCTCTCCAGCATTACTCCCTTCAGTAAGTTATTTGTGAGATTCATTAAAGGTTCAGTGAGTAATATTTCTGAGGATCTATTGACAGAAATGCAATATAAGATCCATAACTATGTTTTCAGTGGTGTGTAAAGACCTTACATAATGAACCGTTATGTTTTTACTACCTTAGAATGAGACATTTATATCTACATAACCGCAGGCACCCCCTGCTGTGGAGGTCGCTGTATTTTGTCGTTATGTTTCTACCGTAGCCGCCAACGAACAAACTGCGCTACAGAGCGCATTTCGTCATCACGGCGTTCTTCTTCTGCTTGTGTAATTCAGATAGTGTAGACGCCCGTCGCTACATTGAATACGTACAAAGAAGAAGAAGAAGAGGGAATAATAATAATAATAGTAATATACAGTCTCCGAGTAGTCTTCTGGTTTATTAGAAGAGAAGTGACATTTGGACAAATGAAGGAGCACACACGTGTTATTTAGCACGAGAGCCGACAGCCAGACGGAGTCGGGACAGACAGCTGACGGTAGAAAACACGGATTTTGGGGATTTTCCTAGAGGGAAGGCTATAACGTTAATATGGGACAGTCTGAAGTTGTCTGTTTTCTACTGGACAGGTAATTAACTTTGCTTGTCAGACTTTAGCGATGCAAATGCAAACTGTTTTTTGAGAGCTTTAGCTAGAAGCTGGCCATAATCACGAGAGACTTGACATGTTTCCCCTGTCAGTGGTGTGAAATATGGATTCATTTCATACCTATTCTCCAGCCTGTGGTTTGGCTTTGCCGGTTACTTAGCGAGACAATCAGCTGATCAGTAACTGGTAATTGGCAATAAAACCGTAATGTTAGCTTAGAGCATGGAAGCATCAGCCAGCTAAACTTTTACTGCGCTGGTAGAAAAAATATGTAGTTGGATTGTAACTTCATGTAGTTCTTCTCCAGCCTCTGTTATGGCTTTGTTACGTGGACAGAAATGCGCCCTTACCTTCCTGAGAAAAACACCTGATGAATATTATTGGTATTGAAACAGTAACAGCAGGGAAGCTCAGATCAGCAGCTAAACTTCACATCTTACTGCCCTGGTGGAAAACATGTATTTCTTTTTACTGCTAATGGTGATATATAACAAGACCGTGTGCCTATCAAGTGACCAATAATGAATACTTTCCAAATTTGCATGAAAAAACTTATTGGATTGTGCTTCCCACTGTGCACACAAATATGTAATTTGTGCTTTTACATGCTAAAAGCCCATTACAAACGTTGCACCGTTTTACCACATGCTGAAATTATGGCTGTCAGCACTACTTTGTGTTTCTGCTGTATTTAAAAAAATTAAAAGAGACATTTTGGTAATTTTTGCAGATTGCTTATCTAATTAAGCAAAGCCAGAGGAGCCTTGATTCTCACCTGACTATGCCTTTGTAAACTTCATGTATTCTGTGGTTTATAATTGACTGTGGTGCAGAAACAGTGAGCCTTACATTGTCCTGTTATCTGTCAGTGGTCATACCTGATGCACTAGATGTGATAGCGTTTGAGAATTTCTTCATTTACTTTGGTATGTTTGTCCAGATGAGCCAACCCTCCCAAGATGTAAAATAATGTATTACAGGAGTATGAGACATCATGTAGCACTTCATCTCTTCATGTGGCTGTTGTTTAGTAATGAAAAAGTAACAATAATATTCAGAAAAACATATGGTTTTACATAATTTATATAATTTTTTAATATATCTAAAAGAAACCTCATTTCTTGACTGGCAATCTCTTTTATCTCATTGATATCATCTTTGTCCTGTCTCAGGCACCGTAGCTATACTGCTCGCTTGGGTAGGGAAGGGGGGGTGCAATTCGCAACCCCCACCACTAGTTGTCACTAGAACTTACACACTGAACCTTAAACATTTCAAAAAGCATGTTTTGTAAATAGTTTCTACAGTAGAAAAAGTGTATTTGTATCAGAGCCATTAGCAACACAAATCGGGGTTTGAATACTGGGGGGACGAGAGGGGCATCTGACCCCCCTAATAAAGACTTGGACTTCCCCAAAAGAGGTCCAAAATTCCTCCTGACCGTTGTTCAGGTCCAATCCGCAACTACAGCCAACGTTTGGTTGAGGTTATGGCTGCCAAAGGAGGGTCAACCGGTTATTTAATCCAAGGTTTCACATTCCTTTTTCACCCTGCACTGTTAGTGTTTTCAATAAAAACATTAAAAAAACATATAATTGTTTGTGTGGTATTAGTTAAAGCGGACTGTGTTTATCTATTGTTGTCTTAGATAAAGATCAGATCACATTTTGTGGCCAATTTATGCAGAAATCCAGGTGATTCAAAAGGGTTCACATACTTTTCATGCTTTCAAGAATCTTGTGATACCATTTCAGAAACCCCTAAAACGGACTATACCATTTCTTAGCCTTGAAGTGGCAAAAATCTAAGAGACAGATATCTCAAAACCAAACCAAACGAAAACAATCTGCATGGCTGCATACCACCAGAAGCTGAGAAAGTATCTGTGAGTTGGGTGACCTGATCCTATAAACTGATTCAGCTGCGTGTAAAGACCTTTTCTTTTACTTCAGGCTAAACAATTTCCTGGTCAGAAACGTCCACGAATCATCTACAGTGGCCCGAAAACCCTTTCAGAGAAGCCCTTACAAAACACATACTCACTACAGACACAGTCTTACCTTATTTGACCTTTTCATTTAAAACGTGCTGTTGGTTTTTCAGTGTGAAAGTGCAGCTGTGTTACAAGTAAAGAAGAACTAGGACAACAACAATGACCTGTCCCGGCTTCTGCATCTATGGGGGTTATACTGATCTAAAATAGAAGTTAAAAGTGGGTATGGGTTCATCATGGTGAAGAGAGAGGAGAGTGAGAAATGACTGAAAAGATAAAGTCAGAGAATAAAAGCTGGACTGAGCTCTAAGTATTTCAATACCAACACAGAGTCTAATACTTCTAGATTTTTTCTGTACCTTTTATTATTATATTGTATAACATTTGGTAATTTGGTAAAAAATGTAAAAAGAATTGAAATTGAACACATGAATCTGACCAGGCAAATAATACAAACAGAGTCAACATGGATAACCTCTAATTTATAGAATAAATTATAATTAAACATGTCTATAATGTGTTGTACACAACCATTTACGCAAGGGGGAGAAAATATTAGTAAACAGCACCTTAATCTGTACTACACCACCAATGACTACGACTTCAAAAATGAAGTTGAATCACCTTAAGGATTAATTACATGGCTGTGCTGCTGGATTGCATTCGTTGCACTGGGTGTATGTGCCTATTCGTTGTGTTTTTTAGAGGACAGTAATATAACTCTCTCACCAGTTTACGAGGATTTATTTAATAATTATCAACCTACCTTGCTGTGTGCGTAGACCACAGAGCCCAGCAGCTTCCAGGTGCCTCCTCTTCGGTCCATTCGCACCATGCGTAGGATCTGCAGGAAACGCAGGCTCCGCAGGACCGAGGTGGCGAAGATGTTGCCCTGGCTACCCGCCGACACCACCGCCACAGACGCTATCAGCACAATGATGTCTGGAGGGCAGAAACACACACAAGGGCTCACCAAAAGAAAAGAAGAAGTCTGCACTCAGTATAATTCATTATGCCACAATACCTGGAAACGAAATACATCATGTTCAACTGAATGAGAATAATATTCTAGGACAAGGCTTCCTATAATAAGTTGTGTTATTTTGTAAGTTACTTGTTTGACTGAAAGCTCCATTCCTGCAGTTTGTAATTTTAGTTTTTGTCATCTCTGTGTTCATATTGTTTATTTTCATGATATTTCTTGCACTGATGATGAATACAAGTCAACAAGTCAACTGTAAAGTGATTTGTTGAAGACTTTTTGTCCAAGCCAACCTGTCTTACTAACACTGATCTTAATGTAAAACAGGCCTTTTAAACAAACATGTGGGATGGTTAAAGCCTTGAATAATCACGTTGCTGCAATAACGGCGACCCACTGTTGTCACCTCACGCCTCACGGTGACAAGTTATCCCAACAAAGGCTCCATATTTCTGGAGCTGACATAATCTGCCATGAGCAACAAGAATGTACTGTGAACTCCTCCTATATACGCTACATGTTCGTATAATAATCCACATCGATCGTGTGGGTTTTGTATTATTTTCTCATTTAATTTTCCCATAAGCACATATAAGCGCAGACAAACCCTATTACTGTATGTGCTACAAATTGTGACAGACAGATACACAAACATCAACAAACAAAGGCACAGACGGAGAAACAGGCAGACACACACACACACACATACAGGTTTAACTGTTCAGAGGAAGTTCACACAGAAACCACACTGAACAAATTAATAAAATCGAACCCACAAAGAAGACCGACAACTAAAGTAACAAGCTGCTATGACTCAGGTTTGCCCTCCTCCTTCTCCCTTCGCTCCTCTCTCATACTGATCTTTAATTTTAGTGACGCACCATGTGAAACTCTAAGTAGTGTTATTTAGTTCACCCCGTGCAAGAGGTTATTCCCTTATATACTGTATAACCATCCCTTTTGCTCCTGTCGTCCTGCCGAACCCATTTTTTGAGAGAAAATGCTGACCAAGGTGTGGCTAATGGACAAGTTGACCCATAGTGGGCGAGAGAAAAGTCAGCAGCACCATAAAAAATACATAAATGACGCCCATGAGACGAGTGATTGACAGAAGGGTGAATGTATGTATGCATTTGAGTATCAGTGTGTGGTACAAAAGGTGTAGGGACTTTTGGAAAGCTGAACATTTTTAATTCTAAAGAAGTGGACGGAAAATGATGATGGCTTTTATTTATTCAACTTTTTTTGCTTTTTTGTCGCTCTGTGTCTCTGTGTGTACATTTTACAGTATAGTATATAACAGAAGAAGAAGTAATTTTCCTTTTTTGAGAAAATCCCGTGATTCTGGCCCCCAAATAATCTTTTGAAAAATGTTGACATTTGACTTTGTTATTTTTTCACCTTTATTACTGAAAAACATACTTATAACAGAAATACACTCATCACCATAGGAAAAGGAAAGTACAGGGAATGGACTGAGCGCAGTGGTACTTGAGATGATCACTGCTCACACCATCTCCCGTCCAGACCAGCTGGACCAAACGTCACCTCAAGTGGTGTGATCGAACCAGGAGAGAGGAAAGCCAGCAGGGATTAGCGCTAAGCTAACCCAGATCAGACCTAAGGCCATACCACTGCTCAGCCTACTCCTGGCTAAAGTCCGGTCGCAAGAAAATAAAATGGATGAAATAAAATACAGGATAACTCAGCAAAGCAAAGGCATTGCGATGAAACACTTAAGACATGTTATTCATGCAGCATTTGGTGATACCAGGCTTGGTGGTTATCTGCACTCCGTCTCTGCATGTATAGGAAGTACCACTAGAACCTGGCAACTGTTTTGATGGTTTAAGTAATTTTTCATGTAAAAACATTTGATGGTTCCAGGCAGCTTTACAAATTTGAAGATTTGCAGCTTTTCCTATTAATTATATTAATAATTTGAAAGTAGTGTTAATAATGTTGAAGTTTGGACTGTGGTCAAAACAAACATGTATTGTCCAACTAGTACTTTTACTTTTAATACTTCCCAATTATACTTACATATGTAGCAGCAATGCAGTACTTTTACTTTTAACAGAGTGTTTTTACAGTGTGGTATTAGTACTTAAGTAAAGGATCCTAATACTTCCACCACTGCTTGTCACGTATCATTTATCATTAAAAAAATAAATTTTCCAAGCCTTAAAAAGTCATTCAGAACCATAGGAAACATGATACAACTGTTTTTCAAGGCTGAGTAAGAACTCTTCATGAGGACTAAACTGATCTTCATGTGTAAAATTGGAGCAAAGAAAATTAAACTTATGTTTGCCCTTCAAACTGATATGCTGTCTTACCACTTTTAAAATGGCGATTTCAATCTACTGAACCTATGATAACTCTCGTCTGGTTGGATGACTTTAAGTCATGCCTGAAGTAATCAAATGGCAAAATGTAAAACATGTGTAGATGTATGTCTGTTAGTTTTCTGCCTGTAACAACAAACTGAACTAAGAAAACACAGAATGTAGTTATCGTTCTGTAATGAAATATGTAGTATGAAAAACTAGCAGAAAATCAAAACGCTTTTTTTTCTGTCTTTTAGAAGTATTCAACGTTAACTCAAGGTCAGTATTTTTCTTTCCACATTGGATATATACAAGACTGGGGAACAAAACCCCTCATTTGCAGCCAACATAAAGTGTTCTGACCTCCAGGCAAACCCTCCAGTGATGGAACCCAACAGGGAACTCAGACAAACATATCAGGAAGATTATATGATATCACAGTCCATCCTCGAGCACACTGTTCTGCACTTAGAGGACTGGGATAAACTGACATTATAAACAGTGTTTTTACACCTGCTGCTGCCTTACCACTAGGCAAAAAACATCATGTCATTGTTGCCTTTGTAATAACAAAGTGGTACCAGCATGAATAGTAAGACAAAGTCCCCACGGAAGGACGAGGAGTTTTGAATCATCGAAACACTTAACTGCAAAAGTTGCTTCTCTCATTTATGTGTTGACTCACTTATTATTTTCACTCCAGCACCATAGATCTCATAATTTTCTCCTCTATTTGCACTGTAAAAAAATCCTCAGGGCACGTCAAAACTTCGACAAGTATTATTTTTGTCTGTAAAAAAAAACCCCCAGTGATTTAGCAGCGGGGGCTGCAATCTAAAAACAAACCGTACATGTTCACATTGTATTTGTAATTTCATACAAAACTCCCACAATCCCCTTCTCGTATGCATTTTAAATTTGATTACATCACTGTGCGAGAGGTACAGGTACATACTGAGACCTGAACACACTTTTGATAACGCAGCACAGTCACAGGGTAAGGAAGCAAGAACAGAGAAAGCTAAACGATACTCTACTAATTTATTAATCTGATACTGATCATCGCCTCCAGCTGTTTCTCTGTCGCTCAGAGTTCAACTCATTTTGTCATTTAATCCCATCATCTCATTTTTTCACACTCTCTTTCTCCACGCCCTACGCTCTCTCTGTCTCTCAACGTGCTGACAAACTACAGAGCTGGCTACAAAGCGTGACGAAGGGAGCTCACGGCACCCTGCGTGATCTCTAAGCCGTGCCCCCCATCCCCCCCCACCCCCCCAGCACCCTACTGTACTTTCCAAGAAGAAGCAGAGATCCATGTCTAAACAGTGGAAAGAATAGAAGGCAGTTAATGCAACCTCGTTACGTAAATGCTCTCTGCTCTTATGAGCTCTGACCACAACTGAAAATGACACGGGCAAACTCTGGTCAATAGCGTGCTGTGGAACAGTGCTTACGTCTTACATCAAACTGCGTTCACAGAGAGGACAACTGCGATCCGCTGCAGGGCAAGTAGGAGGCAACTTGAAGGAGAAACAATGAAGGAAATGAAATGGCCTGGCTCCTTTTGAAAAAAACTTTTTGGAGGGAATAATATGCGTCTGTTTCCCCAAAAGAGACTCCACATAAAGGTTTGCTCCAACAACTAACCTATGACGCAGAAAGGCTTCCTGGCAAAGCGGAGTCGTCCCTGCCATCCTCTGTAGCGACAGCAGCATCCTGCCGACCAGATACGGATGATGTACTCCAACCCAAATACCACAATCATCACAAACTCCTGTTCAAAAAGACAGAAACAATAGTTGTTTTGGCAGTATGTTAATGAGTGTAACAGACGCATCATATATTGTCAGTGTGAAGAACAAATCATCGCTTATTATTAAACATATCATTAATGCAATGTTTATATCATTAAAATGAATGCCGGGATGACAAAGTATTGTTTCTGATAATGACTATAACAGGTCATCTGTTATTGCACACACACAGATTCAGCTCGACAACACTGGTGCAATTAGTGCAGTGCAATTTGTGAAATGGTAGTTACTGCTGCAGGGACAATCGTGTGTAAATGTGTAAAAAAATCCTCTCCTTTCATTTAGAGGCTTTTGAAAAGCATGGTTTTATAGTGAGCATCTTTCAGAAAGCACTTTCGCTCTTGTGCCCACTAGTAGCTCGTTCTGTCCTTCTTGACTTTGTTCATGAAGGCAACTTTGAACTCCATTTAGCGCTATTAGTACTAAAAGAAAGTAAAGTACCCTGTTTGAGGGCAGACTTAAGAAACAAGTCTATTTATTACAGAGGAAATACTCTTCATAATATTAATTCGGTATTTCACATCTGCCCTCTAAACTGTTAAATCACAATTAGCACAAATCCCTCTGCAAAAATATCTAATTACATTCCTACATTTTCTACCTCAGTAGACAGTGTGTTTGGACTCACTACCTTCAGACAACAAAAACAGAAAGAAAGAAAAGAAAAGAGTAAAGCATTTTGTATTTCCAAAACAAAATGTTATTCCTGGCAGTGGGGTGAAGGCTTAGAAACTAAATTTAGACCTTTGTGAAGGCAAAAACATTTACAGAAAATATGACTGTACCAATAAAATAATGTTTTGTGCATTTACAGACTCTGTCATCTGTATTTCTAAAAAAAATAAAAGTGACTGAAGACTAAAGGAACACTCTTCATGGTGCGTATGTTATGTTATACGTGTGTTAGCTAATGACAGGGAGTGGGTCAAAATTCTGCCTGCAAAAATGTAATCATATTTCATCATACTGAATAGAATTAGGTCAAACTGTCACATCCTCAAAAAAGGCTTAAGCACACTATGTTATATACTTTAACAATGCTCAGTTAGGTTCAGGGTTGGTGTGGGTAACAACCTGATAATGTTAAAATTGTCATATTTGAAGTAGTCGGTGAATATACTGTATATTTGGGTGTAAGGAAAATGGGTGAAAGGTAATGAAAGAAGAACTAAAGGAAAAAGGAAACACTATGGAGAATAGGTTTAACTGGCATTTTATGATAGAAAGTCATTTTTGGTTGTTGGTTGTTCAGTATCGTACCAGAATAAGGAGACAGTAGGAGGAGTAGTCCTGATGAGGCGGGATGGTTGAGAACACAGAGAGGACCAGGCAGCTGAACACCAAGATGAACCTTAACAGAACGACAGAAAAACAAAGGAGAGACTCATAAATAGGTAATACACACACAATTCAATCAAACAGAATGACACCACACTGACCAGCAGATAAGATCTCCAATTCCAAAACATCATTTCCACTGGTCACAAACATGCTGTTGATCATAGAAATGTGCACTAATGTGGAATTGTCCGCTGTATTTTCCTAACTGACAAACTCTTGAACCCATTCGGGTAGTGAAGGAGGACCAGAACACGAACAAACTGGCAGCACAATCACAAAACTTATTTCCTCTCCGCAGTGAACCATGAGCCCGACTATTATTCAATTTCCTGAGATATAAAGTTAATCATGCTTGTTTGTGTAACATGATTTGCAAGAAACAAGCAGTGAAACTGCGGCTATTGGAAAACAAGCAACATCCGACCATTTCCACACTCCAACTGTCGCTCCCTCCGCCAGGAAACCGTACCCTTCCATCTTCATAACCATAACTTGTTTTGTTTTTTCCATCGCATAAATCTTCCAAAAACACATCATTGTCTGAAACACAAGCTCTTGATGCTTAACTGTGAGAGCACATCTGTGTTTTATCATCTCCTCTTAAGCCTTCTGGAGAAAGGACTGCTTTTTTCAGTCATGCCCTGCTTCATGTTTGTGCAGTTACACATTAATATTTCAAACGGGAGACCTTTCGCTAAGCTCTGACCTTTAGGCCTCTAAATTTGTGAGAAACCTTCACTTCAAATGGAGAGACATCACTCTCAGGCCACTGGTTTAATGATAGTATGGGCTGATATGTGCAACGTTACTTAGCGGGACAGGAAAGTTGGAGTTAATTTAAAAAAAACAGCTGTGTGGGTGGTAACTATCGGTTTTCTGTGCTGCTTATATCATGAATCTCACTGAACCTCACAGTTTAAAGGATCAGTGTGTAATATGTCTGAGGATTTATTGACAGAAATGCAATATAATATCTGTACTATTTTTAGTGCATTGTGAACCATTATGTTTTTATTACCTTAGAATGAGCCATTTCTATCTACATAACCGCGGGTCTCCCCTTCTATGGACGTCGCAGTATTGTGTCCATGTTTCTACAATAGCCGACAAAGGACAAACAGCGCTACAGAGCGTGTTTCACCATCACGGCGTTCGTCTTCTGCTTGTACAATTCAGGCTGTGTAGACGCCTTTTTATATACAGTCTATAGTAGACGCCCATGCATCCATAGAAGAAGAAGAGGAGATAATAATAATAATAATAAACAGTCTGAGTAGTCCTCTGTAGTAAGAAGAGAAGTGACATTTGAACAAATGAACGAGCACACACGTGTTATTCAGCACAAGAGCCGACAGCGTGTGGAACTTAATAAGATGAAGGCAGGAGGAGTCGGGACAGATGCAGACAGCTGACGGCAGAAATCACGGCTATAATCTGTGTGGATTTTCCCAGATGGAAGGCGTTCATGTGGGACACATGTTTTCAAAGCGGAGCTGAAGTTGTCTGTTTCCTGCTGGACAGGTAATTAAGTCAGTCGGACTTTAGCAATGCAAATGTAATCACCGAGAGACCCGCCATGTTTCCCCCGTCAGTGGTGTAAATATGTAACGTTAGTTGGATTAATTTCATGTAGCCTTGTTATTCTCCAGCATTGTGGTTTGGCTTTTCCGGTTATGTTAGTGAGACAATCAGCTGATCAGTAACGTTGGCTTACAGAGTGGAAGCATCAGCCAACTAAACTTTTACTGCCCTGGTAGAAAAAAATATGTTGTTGGATTGTAATTTAATGTAGTTATTCTACAGCGCTCTGTTATGGCTTTGCAACGTGGACAGAAATGTGTCCTTACCTTCCTGAGATAAACCGATGATGAATATTATTGGCAATAGAATGGTAACAGCAGGGAAGCTCAGATCAGCAGCTAAACTTCTGTTCAATACTGCCCTGGTGGAAAACATGTATTTAATTTACTGCTAATAATGACACATAACATGACCGTGTGCATCAAGTGACCAATAACGAATACTTTCCGAATTTGCATTGAAAAAACGTGTTGTTGTTTTTTGGGATAGTGCTTCACCACTTTGCACACAAATGTGTAATTTGTACTTTCACATGCTAAATGCTCATTAACATTATTGCGTTTTACCACAAGCTGAAATTATGGCACTCAATAATACTTTGTGTTTCTGTTGTATTTTAAAAAATTGCAATTCGCAAGTCTTACCACTAGATGCCACTAAATCTTACACACTGAACGATGTCTATGAAGATTCTCAGTCATCCAGGTCAATGACGGCTTCTCAACCCTGGTGTAGATGCTTCCTTGACACCTCTTTCAAACCATCCATCTTCTCTGTCCAAAATGTGCACGAGGACCACCAGGTGCACATTTTAGAGGGTTGAGAAGCCGTCATTGAACAGGGGAGGGGGTCTACGCCACCACTTATCCCCCACTTACAATGCTGTCCTTTCATCACTTCCCAGGAAACTCAACAAACGTAACCTATTGGCCTCAGGTGAAGATACCAACGATGGTCGTTCAGTCTTAACGACTGTAACGACTGTCGTCACAGCAACAAGGAACACTAACGAACCAGCGGTATCGATGACCCGGGATAACGACCCCACTGAGGTTAAATAGCTGAGTTTCCCTGCCAGTCAGTCAGAACTGAAGAAGTCCTTTGGATGAGGGACGAAACGTCTTCCAGTAGCTTCAACCAAGTCCAGTTGCCCTTGATTTTAACCTTCGTTGGATACACACTAAACCTTTAATAAAACAGTCAGCCGCATCCTTTAAACTCCACCCTTCTGCAGCATAAAATAAAACTGAGGCAACCATTTAATATAAAGTTCTGAAAATGTTGAGAAATCAAGTTCAGGACACAGTTTCATGTTATTCATCACAGAAGCTGATGCTCTTCTTGCTTACTGTGCTGATTCTTTTCTTCTTCTTTTTGGCCACTGGGGGCAGCTGAAACAATTTGTGAAGACAACACTGATATATCATCACCTTTTATGTTGATATAAGCAAACAGCTTATTTACAAAAACAGCAGTTACAGAGCAACATTGGAATTGTGTTTCTGGTCACCTGACGAATGTAAGTTCAATACTCACTCTCCTTTAGCTCTATTTTGGTCTCCTCTAGCTCTTAGCTGCTAAATGCTCCACTATGTTCACCAGTTAGTCGCTGCTTAGTTCCAGACAGCTAAACATGAGTGGAAACTCATTATAAATCTCTGTACAGTTGAGGGGAGCTGCAGATTTGGGTGATTATTCTCTGTAGGAGCATCACTGAGAGCGCTACCCTTGATATTGTCATTTCACACATTATAATTATAAAGATATTACTTATAGCCATTTTAGGTGTGACCTGTGGTTAATATCTTCATCATCCAGGTAAGTGAGCTCTATTTAAAAACAGTTTGTTGATCTACTGGAGCGGCTACTTTGTCAGAAATACAGCAGGGGAAGACAAGTCATTTGTGATTGATTATAAGACCAATAGTGATTTTGATATTTGAGGATTTTAAAATCCGATATTCCGATATATCTGCTGATATTCTTTTTTTTTTTATAGAAACACATGATATAAACAAAGATTATCCCTAAAATGTGTTATGTGTAGTTATAAAACATTAGATAACCTTATATAATTCAGTTTTTTTTTTTTATTGTTGTAAAGAGTACTTTGAACAAAAGCTGATTATGTTAGCTGATTGTTGTTTTGTGGTGGATTTGTTGCATTCAAAAAATGTGTGTTGCTTACACGGGAAGTTGCAGAGTGCCTTCTGGTAGACGAACAACAAAACTCATGACATAATTGAAGGTTCCGTCTTTCCGTTTCTTTTTCAATTGTCATTTATCGGTTTTTATAAACACTATAACAGCGCTATAAGCCATTTTTGCTTGCAAAAGTGTCATCATTGGCAGTGTGACATTAATATCATTGACTTGGTTTGTGGTCCATCGCCACAGCTCCATACTATCAGCCGCTTGGTGCCCAGATTATCACAGAGTTGAAAGGAAGTCTTTCAAGCTTAAAAATTAGGAACCATCAGGATAACATCCAGTGTTTGAATGCCGCCTGTGTGAAAATGGTGGGTTTGCAGAGTGGGTCACTGTCCCATAGCCTACAGCACAGTCCAGGACTGTGCTGTTCTGACCCCAGTTGGGCCCTCTTTGACATCCAGAGAGCCAAAATGGAGGTCAAAATTTTCCACAGTCTCGAGAATAGTTATGTCATTATTTCTCGACCCAAATGTTCTCTCCGCTTTGTCACATGGCTCATAGTGCTGCTGGAGGTTCTGAGTGAAATAAAAGCATAAAGTATCAAAACTTTGAGGTTTGCTCTGTTGACTTTCCCAAAGATTTGAATAATGTGATTTTGATTGGTGGAAAACATCAAGTGACAAGCATTGTAGTGCTGTCAGCTGAAAAGCAAGCTCCTTGTCACCGGCACACCTACGCCTCTCGCACTTACAAGGTTGTCAGACCGAAAATTACAGAGTGACAATCAACTCCCTTCATCCATAGCCTAATATGTGTTTCCATTTTGAATATATTTACAGTGAATGAGAGTAGAGAATTACTGAAAAGCACCCTGACAGCGTCATTAAGCTCTCAACAAAGTTCACTAATTAATCCCCCAAACTAGTGGTCTCTCAGCTGGCCTTAGTGCCAGTGTGTTCGTGATGCCCTGTGCTCACAGGCGGCAGAATTAATCTGGAGTGTCTCGCTCCGCACTTCCAGCCAAGTGATTGCTCTTAACCTTCCAAACAGCAGCGGCTGAAAACTAAGCTAGCTTACACACACACACACACACACAAATGCACCCTCGCAAGCGCAACATAGAGGTATATGTCCTTCCACCCACTCGCCCAATCACCTCTTGCGAATGCACCCTTCACTCCCCCTTCACACACATATAAACAGAAAGAGACCACTGAATGAGTGGTAAGTGCTGCTCTTATTTGCATAATTTAATTGATCTGTTTGGAAAATGAGTCG